TTTAATTTAAATAATAAACTTCTCTATCCTTCTTCTACTACTACCACAACTACACTTACTATTCTATAACTAAAAGTTTTCTCTTCTCCTCCTCGCCTTTGTTCTTTACTATTAGAAATAATATTTTAAATAACTGTAACTATCAATATATAAGTTATTACCTCTATAAACGAATCTATCCCCCAACTTACTACTTATATCATTTGCTATTTTAATATATATATAATTATAATATTATTCGAGAACAAAAGTGCGTTTATTAACAACAACAATGACGAAAATAATAATCTTATTAAAATGATATATAATGAGAAAAATAATGGGAAAGAGGAGGAGAAGAAGAAGAAAAAGAAGGAAAATAACTAAACGTTACTACTATTTCTATATATTTGCTGCTGCTTATTCAATCCGCTTACTACTCCTAAATCTACTACTAAACTATTAAAACTACTTCTACCTATTATTCCAATAGCTATTCTATTTATACTATTTTGCCCGATTCCTACTTTCGTATTTATTATATCACAATTGAAAATCTGGGAGAAATACTATGTTAGAATGTTATAAAGCTTATAAAGAAAATTGTAAAGCCGTATATAAGGATAAGAAAGGTGACTATAAATACTCTAATAAGAAAGAAGGAAGTACTTATACCTATACTTGCACTTATACTAAAGAAGGTATTAAAGAAGATATTTGTATGAGATAAATAATATAATTCGTTAATTTATTTACTTTCTACTTAATTGAATTGTATTTTGAACTTTACTGTTACAGTATAGCAGTTAATATTGCTATATAATATAGTAGTACAAATACGTATAAGTCAGTTTGGTGGTAGAATACTATAGAGTTTATCTTATAATATTTTGCTATTCTATTGAAAAATTTTCCCCTCTTTTATAAGAGGGGTTAGTAAAAAGTCCTACTTTTCCCTTGACCGCCAAGTACCTGAAGATTCTTTGAAGATTCCCTTGGTCTCATCCCTCCACACCTAATTCACCGTCTTCCATCTTTGACAGACGGAACTGGAATTCCACTTGGGTTTCTGAGACTCCCCGCCCTCTTCTTCTCTTTTCATCTTACCAACAGCCGGTCTCCGACGAAACCAGACGATGGGATTCTTCTCCAACCCTTGCCCAGACGAGCCAGATTTAAACCGAACAAAGGATGAATGGGCGCTAGCCTCCAGGCTCAACCCGGCTCATCTCTAGCGGGAAAGACTTTGATTGCGATTCGACAAATCGAGCCTCAACTTGGAGCCGTTCGCTTAAAGACCAACCCAACCATTCATTTTGATTTTCGAGTGACGCAGCGTCAAGCGCAACCCCAAGTCCCGCGCTTCAAGCCGGAGGAAATTGCCCAGAGAGGATCTACCTACACCGCAGCAGCTCTCAGGGCGACATGGAACGACGTGAAACGTGTTGTTCGTTGGGAGGATGGAACCCCAAGAGTTTGGGAGGCCGGAGGATGACAAAGCTGAAGGGATTAACGATGGCAAGAAAACACTCTCCTTCTGCCTTTTGTTTTCTCTCCCGACAAAAAGGAAATACGCGCGTCAAAAAAGATTGCCCAAGAGTGCTAAGAAAATGGCAGGTTCTTGGGGGTGGTGTTCACTTGTCTTGGGGGGCGTTGATAGGTTGGCCGTCGTTGGCATCACAGCAGCTGACAGGCGGGAACATTGCTATTGAACGCTCGCCCGGTCGGATACGGGCAGTAGTTTCTTGGCTTTTTGCGTCGTTGGTTCCCCGTGGCTTTTTCCCGTGTCGTTCCGGGGTGCCTGGAGGGCTTCATCGCCGCCCGTGGAGAAATTGGACATGGGGAAGTTCTGCCCCTGGAGCGCTGCCTTGAAAAATGTCCGGGGAGCCCCCGTCGACGCCACACCAATGTTTGGTTTTCGGCCAAGTCTTCCTTCGGTTTGCAACGTCCAAGACTTTACCAAGAGCTATGCGCCGCCGGGGTTACTCCTGAGTTGCTTTCCGTCATCCAGGCGGCCGGCTCTTCGGCTTGATCCTTAACATCAAAAGCTCGTCAATCTCCCCAGTTCTCTTATAAACACAGCTACGCTTTGACGTACCCGAGCAACTGAGAACAAAAGATACCCGCGAGACTTTGACGGGCGGCTTCATCGGCAGCGGCTCCGCTCCTCACCTCCATCTTTATATCCACCATCAACGAGGCTACACACCGATCCGAACAGATTCAAGGAGGACCCGGTCGAATTCGTCAGCACGTCTCCATTCCCGATTCTGGACCGCCAAAAGTGACTCTGGACATCTGTTGACGACTTCCGGCTTAATGCGACCTACTTAACACTCTCCTCCACTTCCGCCTCAAACTCCCACAGCGTCCTTAGTCCGTTGGAAAAGGGGTCATTGTTGATATGAAGTCTACCTTGGCCACCCTGCTGGCCCTGGCCTCATCAGCCGTTGCCCAGAATGGTGTCCTCAACTTCCCTCTCAACAGAGGCGTGCCTCACTTCAGGGTTGGCAACGTACGCCAAAACGTCAAGCGCGACACCTACAGCCAGGCCCTGATCAACAACATCACCGGCGGCGCTTATTATGCCGAGGTTACTGTGGGCACTCCGGGCCAGAAAGTCAGCGTCGTGTTGGATACGGGGAGCAGTGACCTCTGGGTCGTGAGCTACAAAGCAGACTTGTGCACCGACTATAGGATCCAGCGGGAATGGGGGGACTCATGCGACAAGACCTACAACCCGAACAGGAGCTCTTCGTTCAAGGTCCTGGAGGAGGATGGCTTTGAGATCCGGTACCTCGACAACAGCACTGCCGCGGGTGACTACATCACGGACGACCTGAAGATCGGCGGAACCACCATCAAGTCCCTGCAGATGGGCTATGCGACCAAGACCGTCCGCGGCGCGGGTATCTTGGGCGTTGGCTACTCCTCCAACGTGGCTCACGCAGCGCTACCCCAACCTGATCGACCAGTTCGTCGCCCAAAAGCTCATCACCACCAAGGCCTACTCGCTCTACCTCAACGACCGCCGCAGCGACACGGGTAGCATCCTCTTCGGCGGCATCGACAAGGACAAGTTCATCGGCGACCTGTCGATTCTCCCCATCTACATGACCAAGGGGCAAGCCGAGCCGATCCACTTCGAAGTCGAGATGCAGAGCGTCTCGCTCGACCTGACCAAGAACGGCAAGACGACCAAGATCATCTCGACTGACCCGTCCCTCAGCCGGACCTCGACCATCGCCATCCTCGACTCCGGCACCACCCTCTCCTACCTGCCCACCAAGATCACCGACCAGATCCACTCCAAGCTCAACGTCTACGTCGACGACTTCTACACCGGCCTGACCTTCATCGACTGCGAATATCTGACCTCCAACCCTGACATGCGCATGTCATTCACCTTCGGCTCCAACACCACCGTCTCCGTGCCCGTCTGGGAAGTCGTCCTCGATCTTTTGGGAGACACCCAATCCGACCTCCCCTTCAAGATGCCCTTTAAGCGCGCCTGCATCTTCGGCATCCAGAGCACCGCCGGCTTCGAAGAGGACGGTTTCAATGAGGACTGGGCCCTCCTCGGCGAGACTTTCCTGCGGTCCGCTTACGTCGTGTACGACCTCACCCACCACCAGATCGGCATGGCGCAGGCGAACTTGAACAGCACGACGGAGGATATCGTCGAGCTCACGGGCGGGGATGGCGGGTTGCCGAGCGGATTGGTTGGCGTGAAGGAGCAGCAGTCGGGCAAGGGTTCGTCGGGCAATACGGAATCCGGATCGGGTTCTTCGACGGATGAGGACGGCGGCGCCAAGGAGACGGAGACGGTCACTGCTGGGTCTACGGCGCCTACGGGGACGACTACGTCGGGTACCAAGGACTCGGACAGCGCCGCGGCTGGGTTGAGTGCTAGGGGAGGTGCTGTTGGTGCTTTGGCTGTTGCGGGCCTGACGGGCTTCTTCGCCCTTGTTGGAGGCGCGGTTGTTGCCCTATAGTAGTTGACATACACGGCATACGACTAAGGCGGACATACCTTACACTGCAGATATATAAGTACCGGTATGGTGGTTGTTGTTCTGGATATAGAAACAGCCGCTTGCCGCTTACCTGGATATAACAGGCGGTTGGTAGCAGCGCGTAAATAGCGTTTATTGTACATAAGGTAACCGCCAGTGAAACACACGGTTTACTGCCTCAGGATAACCTAGTAATCAAATAATATTATTCTGTATATCATAGCTGGATGGATGATAATGAGCAGGTAGTTAGTCACTACAGGAAGAAAATGGAAGAAAAGTAAATGGCTGTCATTCTCGCGGGTAAAAAAAGCTGAATATCATCAAGCAAAAAGATGCAATGCAATATTCTGCGCTCGAAGAAGTCCCAGCCGGGTTCCATCCCCACAGGCACAACCAACGAAAAGAACAAGCCACAAGCCCTCCTAGACTCTAGACTCTAGACTCTACTCTTGCAACTTCTCAAACCTCTCCCTAGCCTTGTCCCTCGTCTTCACCACAAAGTCCGAAAACTGCCCCTTCGTCCTCCTCGCCGCCTCCTCGCTCGCATCGCCCAGCTTGCCTCCATCCGCACCCAACCCCACACCCGGCGCATACGCCTCCGTCGCTATGGCCTGCGTCCGTCCCGTGCCTTCGGCACCAAGACCCACGCCCGCCGTCCAGCCCATCTTGGCCAGCATGCCCGCGCCCTTGGACTTCTTCGCTGCTGCTGCCGCCTGCTCCTCAGCAGCTTGCTGTTGCAGTTGCTGTTCCTTGCGCTTGTCACCACCAGCAGCAGGAGCGGATGCGCCAGCCAGAGCAAGCTGTTGCTTCGACAGTTGTCCACCCGGCTTGTTAGGCTGCAGGAACGCATTCCGGCGCTCCATCGCCCTGTCGCGGTACCGCTGCGTGCGCTGTTCCTCCCGACGAAGCTTCTTGTCGGGGACCATGGTGAGCGGGACTTTGCCCTTTGCGGCCAGCTCGGCGACGGCGCGCTCCTTGGCTTGGACGTCGGAAAGCATGCGCTTGTGCAGCTCGCTTTCCTGTTCGTGGCGCCAGATGGTCTCGGCGTGCTTGAAGGTGCGGTGGCAGAGGTGGCAGTAGAGGGCGTCGAAGTCGGCGTACGAGGTGTAGACGGGTGGAGCGTCGTGCTTGAGGCGAGGGGTGCGGCGGGCGATGGATCGGGGCTCCTTGCCCAGCGAGGTGAGCTTAGCAGAGGCCTTTTCTTTGGTTTCGGGGTCTTTGAAGTGGTTGTGGACGATGACTTCGTGGCTGACGAGGAGGTCCTCGCGTGTGTAGGGACCGTATCCACGGTTGTTGATGGTTTCCTGCGAAGGCACCTCCCAGTCGCAGAGGGGACATAGCATGCGGTCCCAGTCCGCATATGAGAGGTACTGATCGGCCCAGTGAGGCTTCAAAGGACCATCTGGCTCTTGATCATCGTCATCTCCCTCAAACCCTGCTGAGTTGAGGCCGCCTTCAGCAGCAGCCAGCTTTTTACCGTGTAGTTCCGCCGCCTTCTTCGTCCACATCTGCATCTGCGGCATCATTGCGATGCCCTTCTCACCGGGGGCTGGCTCCTTCTTCCTGAATTTCTTCAGGAGGTTGGCCTGGCGGGCGAGGGGATTCTCCACAGCGCCATCTTTGTGGTCGGTAGACTTAACTGCGCCTTGAGGTTCAGATGTAGGCTCGACCGAGACAACATGGATGCTGGGATAGACACGCTCGTCCCAGTACTTCAGTCGAATGGTAGGGTTGTAGATGGGTTGGAAGGAAAAGCGAGAATCCTCGTCCGGGCCAACCTCAAAGGCCGGGATGAAGACGCCAGTGTGGATGAACGAAACCACAACAGGCCTGGATGCAATCGCAAAGCTTGGGGAGTTGCGGAATTTCGCAACTGCACCCTTGGCGTCTTCAACCGTCGCAAACTCGGCGAAACCATACCTCCAGGATTCGTTGCTCCTCCGGCTCCGTATCAGGAAAACGCGGCGTAGGCTACCGGGTTTTGCGCCGAGGTTTGCAGTGTTGCTGCCCGGCGCTGTCGACTTCAACTTGTGGCTACCGGTAGGCGCCTTTGCCGTCTCTTCGCGGAACAGCTTCATGACGCCCTTGGCTAGAACTTCCTCGGTCACTGACGCCTCTAGATTTCTTATTACAAGATACTGTGACGGCATTTGTTGAGGATCTTCGTCGGTTTCTCCGGTCAAGAGAGGACCTGATAACGGGGCTCCATAACTGTAGCTGTAATTGGCATCATCTGCGCCTGTTAGTCAACAATCTGCCAGAACAAGTGCAAGGCGGGGGCCCAAAACATACCGGGTCTCTCTGTCTTGCATTTGAAGCACATAGCACGGTACGAGAAGTTAACTGCACCACACTTGAGGCAGTCCCAGTCCTCATCTTCTCTGCGGGAGTCGTGGATATCGCTACGACTCCTTTCGAAGAAGATATCCATAGTGATGTATTCCGAGTTGGCACCACGGGTGTGCTCGAGAGGGAACGATATGTCGGGATGATGCTGTTCCATAAAGCTCTCTGCATCCGCGCGTCGTTTAAACTCGACGACCGCAAGGCGGCGACCGGCGCTGTCGTATCGGAATCGGACGATTTTGATTTGGTCGGTAGACGTGTTTGGATCTTGTGTGACGAGGTTAAGACCGTAGAGAACCTACAAGAGTTTGGCAGATGATTAGAACCATGTAGAACTACATGCTAGGCGCGAATACGGCACCAGACTTACATCACGTTCGGTGGCGTCCTCCGGAATGCCTTGGAGAATTATGATCTTGCCTCCAGGCGCGGGCGCGGGCGCGGGTGCGTCGTTGTATCGCCTGGAAGATTGGCCTTCCCTATATCCTCCGTTATGGCGACCGCTGGGGCTTGTTCCTCGATCACGTCCTCGGTAATCGTCGTCGTCGTAGTGTCTTCCTCCTCCACCACCGCCGCCATGTCTCCCCCAGTCTCCGCGACGAGCGCCACCGTATCTGTCACCACCACCTCCTCCTCTGTCTAACCTGCCTCTGTCTCCATCAGCGTCTCCGGCGCCTTCGTGATATTCGCCGTCATCGTCGTAGTTGAGGCTTCTTGACGGACTTAGAGCATCTTGTTTGCGTGTCAGACACAACCAAAGTTAGCCATGGCAAGCTCGGCAGCAACTTGTAGTAGGCACAAAAGTGGCCATGGTCCAGGCTTAGGCTTGTTCAGGTTTTACCCTCTCTCGACCGGTAGTACTCGCCGTCTTTTGGTCTTGTGTCGTTCGAGCCCGGCAGGCGCGAGTATGGTTGTGGTGGACTACGACTGCGACGACGGTAGCTACCAGCGTCGCGCGCCCTGGAAGCGTAATCCTCAGGCATTGCGGCGCGTGTTTAAGATACGCGAATGGTTGCTCAGCTTGACGCTTGTATTTGGGACGAGTTCCGTGATCGGTTATTTGTCTTGTTATGGGATGGCCGCTGTAAAAAGCTTCCGTCAAGTGATGGGAAGCGTTCAGTTGTCTTCGGTGGTTGGTGAATGGCAATGGAATTGAGGGTTGCGAGCTCGTCGATTGCAACGAACAACGGCTTCCCGTTCGTTATCTTATCGGGTAACTTACGCTATGCATTACCGTATCTTACACCCTGCTCCGCCCAGTCCCACTTACAAGTGAACTATACAACCTTGATGTCAACGACACTATCAGTCATCACCATTAGTTTCCGGTTCTTCAAGTTTCCTAAACGGAATTTATCTCTCTTTCCCTGATATATAGCACGTCTTCGGGAGAACAGTTCATTTCATTGACTTCCTTCCAGCATATATCCCTCATCTTCTCATATTCGGTCCACACCTTCCAACTTCCCACTTCACATCGCTCACGGGAACGTCAACCACTTCCTCGGTTCATCAACTAGTTCATATTGCCTGAACCGCAACGAAGAACACCACCATACACTGAAGTTTCCCACGTCCCATCAAGACTCTACCAACCAACCATGGCAACCAAACAACCAACTCAAAACGATGAATGCCCTCAAGCCCCAGCTCAAGCTGAAGTCCAAGCTCAACAACAGCCACAGCCACAATCATCATCATCATCATCATCATCATCATCATCATCAGATCCCACCGAAATCTCCGAGCCCAACATCTACGTAGCCCTCACCCACGACCATCTCAACTACCAAACCACCATAGACCGCGTGCGCTCCCCCGAAGCCGGCGCCATCGTCGTCTTTGCCGGAACGACCCGCAACAACTTCAACTCGCTCCCCGTGAAGCACCTCTCCTACACGTCCTACGCCCCGCTAGCTCTGGGCACCATGCTCACCATCTGCCGATCTATCCTCGTCAAGCACGGGCTGAAGGGGATAGCGATGGTGCACCGGCTAGGCGTCGTGCCGATCGGGGAGGAGAGTATCTTGATTGCTGTGTCGAGCCCGCATAGACAGGCGGCGTGGAGGGCGGGGGAGGAGGCGTTGGAGGAGTGTAAGGCTAAGGTGGAGGTCTGGAAAAGAGAGGAGTTTGCGGGCGAGGGGGGAGGGGTGTGGAGGGCTAATAGGGATGGGGCGGTGGGGGTTAGGGTTGATGAGCCTAAGATAGGGGATGGGGAGGGTGATAAGAAGGAGGAGAGTAATAAGTGAGAAGTGATTAGTTGGAAATAAGGAAAAAAGGTGGTGATGAGAGAGCGGTCTATGAGGGATGAAATGCTCGAAGGAAAGGAGGATCATGATGAAATTGACAGGATGAGTTTCGAAAAGGGACTGGCGGAACTGAAATCTAAGAGAACGTCTTCCAGTTCTTTTCCCATTTTCCCTTGTCAAGGACCACTACCGGAGGTATGTATTCTCTGCGAATCCCATGAACGTCGTCATCGTGTTTGTCCGGGACTGACACACATCTGGATGTGCCTTAGTTTACAAAGCTAACCCCGACCCGGTGACAGAAACTTTGAAATTTATATCACAACATCGTCTCCCTCATCGTCAAACTTCCTGGGGATTAGAGGGGAACTGATCCTGACAAAGTATCCGCCCCGATACGAAATTGTCGTTGCAAAGACACCATATCCTCTTGTTCCTTTAGCCATTTTCCATAGATTCTACTCGACCATGCCTTGCCTTTGTTACATTTATATCTTCATAAGCAGTCCCCTCATTTCATCGGCACATAAGCACATTGTCTTCGTTTTCCTCACCGCTTCTATTTCGAATCACTTCCACCCCCATGACTTCCACTGCTACCGGTACCCTTCTCCTTGTCGCTACTACTATCATCGCCATCGCCTTTCGAGGCACCAGTACCAATACCGGGTGAAGGCTTCGGCGGAGGACAGGCACCGATGGGCTTGGGGAAGTCGTAACCTGATCCGCGACCTCTGGGCATGTTTCTGATGGTTGGATGGTGAAAGTCCGGGTAGATTGTGGTTGACTGTTGCCGAAAGACAGACACGGTTGAGTTTGGGCAGTGGTTGTAGGTGGTTTGTCTCTAGTTATTGTCTTCGGGTAGACCGGCTGTGCTGGTTTGGGCTGGGTGATGGGGGAAAAAAGGCTGGCTAAGAGAGATGGAGATGTCCGATGGGCGTGTTTGAGGCTTACTACCTTGGAGAAGTAGATGTAATGCTTTTAAAGTGTGTAGAGAACAGTTTGCTCGCTTTTCTGCAGAGCGTCTGTTGTCTCGGATGGGGATGCCACTGTCGATACGACTCAAGACTTCATGGGGATGGGCTGGTTTTTCTGCGTGTCTTCTAGGACGGTTTCTAGAAGGAAGAGTAGCGGTGTCTCCCGTCTCGACCGAGGTTAACGTCCTCGAATGCGAAAGAAAAAAGGGAAATATGTGTGTTCCCAGAGCAAGGGATGGCGATAACTTGGGGAGCTGGGATAACCACCGTCTTTTATTCGACCAACAAACAAAGAATCAACTCGATCTAGCCCTTCCCATGTCGTCGATGCCTTGACCGAGGTCTCCAGAGGCCAGGGAATGGAGCTCACATATTGGCCGACATGGTTCGTTGTTCATTTCCGGATGCAGAGAAGAGAAGGAAGGAGCGGACCCCTCAAGAGGTAGGCACGGGAGTTGGTGCCTGCCGTGTATAATCGTTTTTGCAGCATCTCAATCACTGCACCTCAAAGAGTGAAATGAACTGTAAAAGGATATCTGCCTGGTTAGCACACCGCTCGACTGTATAATTGCTCTGGGGTGCCTCCTTCCCGCAGAGCCTCTTAGTTCCACATTCTGAAGAACCTTGCGACATCATGATGTAGTAACACGTTGGCAACCGGGATCCAGCAGCATTGCGATATTTGGGTGCCGCAGGTAAGCAAGGTAAACGCAAGATCCGGAAATGAAGTTTCGAAAACAAGGCCAGTGTATCGGGAAAGAGTAAAGGAAGGTGCCTTCAGTCTGTCCGAGACGGGAGCAGACGCAACTCCACGGCCGACTTAGTAGTAAGGGAGGTGCTACCTCCGATGTACAGAATGGCTTCATGGCTTCCAGTAATGGTAATGACGATCGTTGGGACCAGTCAGTCACGTAAAGAAGGAGCCGAAAGGGTTGCTCTTGTTTTTCTTAATAGCAGTGCATGTGAGGTCCCGACAACAGGAGAGCTTATTGAGGAAGGCGCATCCGGTACTCAGTTGGCGGTGAAACCCCCATATTAGAATCGGTGATGCTCATTAATATCCGAAGCGGGAAGGCACAACATGAGCAGATTGGTGACGGAAAATGTCAATCGCCAGCCATTGGTATCAACATCGTGAAACCGAAGTGTCATGGAAAAATATGAGTGTCATAACCAAAGTCAATGTTTTGTGTAGGTCCCCTTCTCAGAAGGTATGTATATGTCACGGGACGCCCTGAACCTCCTCCCGAAACCCGAGATTGATACATCGAAATTCCAAGGACCATAGGTCATGGACGCCTACGAGAGTAAGCCCCTTGACTTGAGCCAATATTCCTGTCAAATGTAGAAAAATCTCATCATGTTATGCGTGAGATACATGTGCTGGCCGTGCCTGTCAATCTCCGTCCTTGTCGTCCAAAAAGCCCAACGATCCCAACAAGTTGCCGCTGACCCTGGGGGTGTTCCCAATTCACAGACTCCTTTCGAGAGAAAATAACCAAAACTCCGTAACTCCTCCTGTCTTGTCCGATTCCCTTCGCTATTACTCGTAACATACAGCTATGGCCACTCGTGGAGTCCAAAAATGCCCCCTGGCTGGACGTGTTTCTGTACAGCTCTGGCATTGTGATCCATGGTGCTCCCAGCTATCGTGTTGCCAAACCATTCTGGCGCCTTAGTGTGCGATAGCGTGAGGGAAAAGAAAATGACGAGGGTCGACAGCAAAAGACCAACGTCAAGGGCGGCCGAGGTTAGGTAGTTGTACTGCAGCCACCAACCCGTCTTCCGGCGGCGAATGAAAAAGTTGAAAACAGTGCCGACTATGCCCCAGCAATAGTAAATGTAAACAGTTGCGGGCGGAATCCAGCCTGAACCGCCAAACACCAGGGGGAAGTTAACATAGCGCCAAAGCGAGCGCGGATATCGTCGAGCGAAAAACCACGAAAGCACAGGAGAAAGGGCGCCGACGAGCCAGAACCACTGCAAAGCGCTATAGAGTGCTTTACCGGAGAACATGCGGGCCGGTCCGATCGCCCCCCAAATGACGGATGCAGTGAAGAAGACCTTAGCACTGGGACATGTAAAGTCGTTGGCTTGATCGTCCGTGCAAATATTAGGAATCGCCCCAAGGGCCCAGTTCATGACGGCAATCTGGACAACGGCTGACCAAACCGAAGCTATCAGCTGGGACCAAAACATGACGCGAGGCGGCACCTTCATATAATGACCGAGCTTGAGATCCTGTGTGAAATAGAGCGCCTGCGACATGACAAGATAACCGTAGTTCTTGAACATCATCATGACCAGAGGGCGGCCGGGGAGCATGTAGCCGATGACATACTCGGTCAAGACGTTCAGTCCCAACTGAATATTGGTGATGGCCTGGATGATTCCAATCGGTATGGTCCATACCACCGGAATCAATATGCAGACGACAAATGCCCACCATGGGAAGCTGGTATCCCAAGCACACACCACAGCAAAGGAGATACCAAGCATGATGGCAAATAGGATAATATACCACCAATCCTCAGCGTCGCGGTATTTCTTCATGAGTCGCATGTGGACGTCGTCTTCTTGATGCCGGGCCAGCTTCCACTGGTTCCAGATATCCCTGCCGTGGTAGAGGCCAACGTGGACGATGACGGCCGCGACAGCTGCGAATGATAGCCCATATGCAAGGGCGAACTGGGTGGGGAGGTAAAGCGGCGAGTAACTGTTGTATTTCTCTTCGTCGAAATGCAGGTTGTCATTAAGAATGCGGTGAACGTCGTACTTGTTCCCGGTGTTGTCGTACGAGTGCGACTCTTGGACTGGCAGGTAAGCCGAGTACCATACATTCGAATATTGGATTCCGAGGGAGACAATAACGAAGAAAAATGTGACACCGCCGACAACGTTGGCGATGGCATGAAATGGCGACGCGAGGGGTGACAGGAGATACCCAGAGATGATGGACCAATCCTAAGGAGAGTAAGTACATAGAAACGGTCTAGCCCGGGAATCGTAAAATACTCACAAGAGTTATTGGGAATAACCCATAACCGGTCTGTCCGCCAAACAACTGATTGACAATGACATTCTCGGGCCAGATCCAGGTAAGCCAGCACATCCAAGACAGCCCTGTGAAAAGATAACCAGGAAACCAGTACCACGCAAATGATCCGACCATGACAATCAAGAACCATCGGTATCGGCTGACTGACCAGCCGTTTGTCCTTGCCGGATCCGAGGGCGAGTGGTCGTGGAGCGTGTAGAAGAGAGTGCAGTTGATGAGATCTGCGGGCCAGATCATGGCAGCGGGCCAAACCAAGAACCTCCTTGCCAAACCGGCAAGTCCATAACCAGTGCAGAGCGTCGAGATACCGAAGAGAATTTGCCAGGCCCAGCCGAACGACTGTTTGTACCAGATCTCCTGAGCTAGAATGACATCAGTAGCATACAAAGCACCACCACCATATGCAGCCTAATGAAGAATAAGTTAGCAGTTAGTCAAGCAAGATAGAAAGGCAGACGTACATTCGACATGACAACAATGATGACATGTTCCTTGAAGTTGAATGGTCCGGGCTTGAAGTTGAATTTGACACCGAATACGGTGAAAACACGGTCGGGGAAGATAAGATCCCAGCCCAAGCCGATGGGGTATGCTATGAGCTGGATGGCCAGAGTCGACAACATGATGCTAGGGTTTCGCAGCGAGAGCAGCATGTTGACAGCGGAACCGATGGTGCAAAGCAACATGCCGATAGTCCAGGCCCGGATGGTGTTGACGGGCATCTCGACATCGTAATTCCGTACTGAAGCTCGGACCTTTGAAGTCACAGTTAGAGAGAGTCCAAAGAGGATACTAACCAGGACGCGCAGAGCGATGAAGCGGGATATCTCACTTCTGGATATGGCGAATTGTCTTCGGCCAATATTTGGTCGATCTCGGTTCCCTTCTCGATGTTTGCGCTGTTCAAAGCGGTTTCAACCTCGTCAAGTTCGTCCAATGGTAGGTTTGGGTCCAGGCGATGCATCTTTTCGAACTGCTTCAGTGCCCTCAAGGCCTCGAGGCCAGTTGAGTCCCCCTCCATCGATCCATCGTCTACCATATCCGGCATAACATCCTCATCGCCGTGCCGTCGTCGAAAAAAGTTGCGAAGCATTTTGGAGGAAAAGCGTGGTGGTCGCTATGCCTCCCGTGCAACCAAGCCCGGAAAGCAAAGCGGGAACACAATCGGGGTCGTGCCGATCTGATGGGGCGATTCCGCAAAGCGAAGGATAAATCTTGACAGCTGGGTGGTTAGTACGCTGATCGATGCGTAAGCATGGCTGCCTCGACTCCAGCGACTGTTGACGTTGCACGGGTCCGGGCCTAGAACATAAGGCTACGGTATGAGTTGAAGAGGTAGGGATCCAGAAGGGTTATGACGGAGGAAGAGTATTGTAAATGCAATGTCGACTGAGGGAGACGACGATGAAAGGAGAGACGGATGAGATGATAGGGAGATAGCAAAATGTGGGTTCCGAGTTTACGCCAGGCCGGCCTCTGGACCAGTCCCACGCTCTCTTTGGCTCGTCTCTCTGGTCCTCTCTCGACCCTCTCAGACCGTTCGAGGTCTTGGCCTTTCGCACCTCATTGCAGCATGGGCTAGCGTGGTGTGAAGATACCATGTAGGTAAATACTTGGGGTATGTCGCGGGTGCGTGGGTGGGTGTCCAGGTGGGTGACTGTGTGCCGGGGCTCACACCTCTTTCTTCATTTTGTCGGCCAGGGCAGTGCTGGGAGCCTGATATCGAACTGTACCGTTTCTAGCCATGGCGGAAGATGCAGCCCCAGCCAATGCTGACCTGCCTAAATGGGGCCGAGGGCTTGCGAAGGGCGACTACAGGGTGGGCTCAAGCGAGACCGACAGGGGCTGAGGCTATCTCGAAGCGGGGGGGACACCACATGGGCTCGATGGATAAAGAGGCCCAGGGCAAAGGCCGACGATGGAGGAGAAGGCTGGCGTGACCGTTTTCCGGTTCGCACTCTGGATGGATGCCCGTTGCTGGGCGGGTGCTGGCCCATGGGTCCCGAGAAACACATGTTGACCTGACAGAAGGTTCGGCTCTTGATGTGCGGATACCGTTTCGAATTGGATATCTTGATGAGGCCGGTGAAGGACCTTTTGATCCGTCCCGTTGCTAGTAGCAGTGCTTGAAGTAGGGCAACACGGCGATGCTGCACTCTGACGGCGCCGCCTTATTGTTAATGGCTCAGTTTCATTACTGAACATATGTACAGATACCTACACTGATTCCTCAGCTGCTGCTCTACCTATCCTGCACCAGTGACTTTTCGGCTTTGGTACTGTTATAAACAAGCTAGCAGATGCTAGATAGCACTTCGACAGCGCTGGTGAAGCAGCGGAAAACGGAATTGCCTCCCATCTCCGCTACCGGGGCGATACGGCGCAGCAGTCCTGGGGATGGACGGCTTGCCACTTTCTCACCATGCTCGCTGACTCTCGTTTCTGAGGAATCTGGGGGTTCGTAGGATCGATCCCGGCAAGTGCCCGAGGTGCCGTTCGTGCCACCGTTTCGTATGTGGCTTCTAACTGGTCCAACGGCCATGATGGTGGGGATGGGTTCAACTAGTGCTTCACTAGGCGACGGCCGACGGCAGGCATGCAAATGCTTAAAATCATGGGGAGCCACTAGCCTGGGAGCATTTTATTGTTGTGATGGGATCCGGAATGTTACCACAGAGCCCTAGGTGAAAGGTGTTTTGGGTGCCGTGCTGGGGACGGACTGTGTCGGTGAGAATTCCGGGTAGAGAAATGCAGGTGAAAATCGTGGAATGTGAAAATGAGCAGATGGATGGTCGTTGATTCAATGATCCTTTCCTCCAAAAAGTCGGGAGGAAAGAACCGTCCACTCACAGGCAACTGAAGTGGAAGGTCTCCACCGTTCGGGGTCTAAAATGCACTGCACAAGTGAGTGAGACCGAGAAGGAACTGCCCCTGCCCGTCTCTATCCGCCCCGCAAAATGCCCTGTGCTTGCCCTTCGAGATTCCCGTCCTGCTCATCTCCAATCTTAGCTCTCGGCGGGCAGGCACCGTCCAGAACCGCCGACGCTCGGAACACCAAACATCCTCAGTCGAGACACTGGCCTCGATACAAAGTACAAATGGAAGTACCTCCGAAACGGTCAAGACCTGCGCCGAGCCTCCAGAACCAATCTCAGACGTTTCTTTTATCTCTGGAAAGCGTATCCAGGAGCGGTCTAACCTCATGACTGCACCCCTTCCAAGCCGATTCCAAGCATCCACGACATCTCAGCTTATGTCTTGGACTCTTGGTTCCAGTCGTGGCAGTCGCGGTCCTCACCTCATCGCCCAGACTCACCCACTCCTGCCACTGATTTCCTGCCACTGCCTGCATCTCGCCCACACTCTCGCCCAGGTCCATCACCCTCATCTTCATTCCATCACGCCGCCGAGACGCCGAATGATGTGGGCTACATATCACGATTGATAACAACCAAGTTACGTGTTCTTGGCTTCTCCTCAATCACCCCAGGAAGCCACTCTCGTGGACACCTTTCTTTTGATACTGTGTGTGTTGCAAGCAGGGGGAACATCATCAACAGCGGGCAAGACAGGGCAGTCCAGTCGGGTCGGGTGCTACATACATATCTTGTGAGTGCCGACCGAATCTCGGCCCTGATGAAGCCCCCCATGGTAACGTTATGTTATGCTTTTCTCTTTCGTACGACAAGCTCTGCTGGAATGATAGACTTCCTAACGAGCCGTGTGACAAAACATTGGCACCAGCCATTCTCTCTTCCTCTCTATTGAAGAAAACCGATTCTAAGCGTAAAACATTGAAAAGGAAAAAGCATGAGACTCCGAATGGAAGACTCAACCACAAAAGCCCGTCTGTCTGTCAGTATCACTTCCTTAGATTCTTCGGAAGACGGTCGGTCGGTGTCTTGGCTTCGTGCGCAGATACAGCCGTACCACACGAACATGACTGAGTCGATAGAGTGGCCGAGACCCTTAACCAACCAAAATAGCATCAGCAATAAATTTATTGACTGACGTCCATGATCCGGCTAATATACACATCTTGCCCAACCCAGTCCAGCCAGCCAGCATCTTTTCGCTCAAAGTGGCCCGTTACAGTTCAATTCTTTTTCTTCAGTCCGCCGAGAGCGCCACCACCCAGGTTTCGGTTCTTGTTCAACCCACCTCCATATGCAGCTGAGTGGTTTTAATGGTCGTGGCAGTGCCCCACCCTATTTTTTTTGTCTCTGTATCTACATTGATAACATGAGATGTTGACACGTGGGAATCTGGGGGTTTCCTCCGAAGCACTGCATTGAGGATCGAAAAGCGAGAGAGGGACACAGACAAGTCTTGGTATTTTGCCAGGGCAATCGTCAAGCTTGACATCGAAGGTGGTTCATGCGATACCTAGGCAGCGTGAAGCTGACGTTGGCCAAGGTGCTTAGACTAATAGTCAGAACCTTCAATATGATAAGTTTCAAGCATCGCTATCTGTCTGACGATTACCTTGTCATCGAAAGGCAGCGCAGTTGGTCCTCACGAGACACAGCTAGATATTGATTACTGACGGAACTGCACTACGCCACTTGGTATGTACATACATTGGCCCGTTCCTCTTTTTCCCCAACGTCCTGATGTTCATTGGAAAGGTATGGGTGCGATACTTTTCTTCATTCCAGTTTCCTGGGTGTATTGCCACACAACAAATGCACATCTTGGCCCGTCCAAGTGCGCCTTTCATACCTGTACCTTGGGGTCGAGTTGTACCACAATGACAACGACGACTGAGTTCAGTTGAGCACGCCAGATACACAAAACAAAATCAAAAGAGGAACGAAAATGCACATCATCGACAACAAATGATACCGTATCCAAAGAATAAGCGTTGCCCAGATACAATAGGCGAATTATGTATATGTGCTCAGGTAGGCAAGTGCGTACCTACTTTGTATGTTACGTAATTACGATCCCTCGCCATCCAGTGACCTGTCTCGCCTGTATACACCTGAGTCGCCCCCATTTGGGCAGACATATGTTCAACCATGAAATCCCGTCCCTATCATAGCGTCTCTCAAGAAAAAGTGCCAAACCTCCATGTCCTGTTAAGACCTCACTCACTCACCACAGAAGAAAAAAAACTCATGATGATGATCGACTCCTTCCCCATAACCTCCCCCGTCTCCCCAAAACATTTTGCTTCGCACTGCTCTCGTTTTCACGAGCATTGCTGCAGCTTTTCCTGTACCCAAACCCAGACCCAGACTCCTCTATCACGTCCAGCTGCTGAGCAGCAGCAGCGCCACCGGCATCAGACCTCGGTCTCCTCAAGTGAATAGCCTTTGTGAACCGACTTGTCGTGTTTGTCGTGTTTTTTGTTGCCGCTGTCGTTGGACTGGAAGTAGAAGTGGAAGTGCAAGTGGAAGAAGTATAATCACTAGCACTCCGTTGATGACTTTGGTTCCGGCTGCTCTCATGGCTGTAATGATGATTCCCATTCCCGTTCCCATTCCCATGAGTGCTAGCAGCACCACCCAATAAGCTCCTCATCAACCGTCTCGCAAAACCTTCTACTACCCCTCCGGCTCCAAAAGGACGGTGGTTGTGCTCGTCTGAGCTGGAGTCTGAGTCAGTGTCCTCGTCGTCTGAGTCCGTTTCGAAGACTGAGACGACGGGTGGAGGAGGGGCAGGAACAGCGAGAGTCGAGGGAGGAGGTGGTGGTGGTGGTGGTGGTGGCTGTAGTGGTGGTAGTGGTGATGTTGGAGGGACTGGGAAGACTACTGGTGAGGGGGTGATGATCGAGGAGGTCGTTGTGGTCGTTGGTTGAGCGGGAGGGGCGGTAGTAGGCGCTCTTCTAGCTTTTTTTGCTGTTGCTGAGATGCCCTTGTCTGTTCTGGTTGTTGCTGTTGGTACACCCTGCTGCTGCTAGGGGGCCTGGGAAAGACCGGACCGCGGGAGTTATGACGCAGATTGGTGAGTGATGGGCGACGGAACTCGGTTGGGGTGAGGTACGGTTGAAGATAAGAAGAAGACTCTGCGTGGTAGGGGGCAGAAGCCATCTGATGGTGTGATAAATTGCTTGTGGAAGAGGGGACAGGGATGATAGATGGCCTTGCTCGGAAGACCAGGCTTGCGGTTGTTGTCGATGTTGTCGTCAGCGACCTGGGGCTAGGTGAACAGATGGTGGTCACCACAGGCAGCGGCTCGCCCCCCAGTTTCCTTTTCCTACCGATGCTCGACCTCCTGCTGCACATCACTCCTACTGGAGGTCGCTGCTTCTGTGGTGGGGTTTGCTCCGACAGTCGCAAGGTGTCCGAGGTCCATGGCCGGGCCAAAGATGATCTCCGAGGTGGTGGTGGCACCGAAGAAGAATATTGAGTGTCAGACGGCGGCGTTGGCGGGAAGAGTGAGTAAGTCGAGGCGGGAGGGGGCTTGTTGAATGTCCGAGGCACCTGGTGGTGACTGTGACTGGTATATGGAGGAGTCAGAGGCCATTGGTTATTATCACCCTGGGCGAAGCCGCTATCCGGCCGTAATGATGCCAGAATCGGTCTGATGGTCTTCTTCCTCTCTGGTGTGCTGTCGGCTGTGCTGGTCCCAGCATGATGGCTGATGGGCCGTGCTGGAGTGTTTGTCGTCTGGAGATCCTTCTCTTGTCCTTGGGTGTTGTTCCAAAAACAGTTCCATAGCCCCCCAGACCTGGAAGTGTGGTGGTACTGGTATTCATCTTCGGTAGAGATGTCAGAGCCATGGTCTTCGATCATGCTCGGCACAGATGAGATGTCGGACCCAACAGACTCGCGGCCCGGCGATGTTCCTGACAAGGGGTAGGAGTAGTTTGATATTTGTGACTGGGGAGGATAAGCGGTGATGACTTGAAGGGTTGGACGTGGGTCCCGGTCGGGAAGCTGGCTGTGGAAGTCCATCGTTTATGCGCTTGGATGTCTGGAAAACAAGACGGGAAGAGAGTCGTCGAAGTGAGCAAACTTGAAGCAGGGCGACGGGAAGTTTATCAATGTGTAAAACAGATGTGCGGCTCAACCGGACATGGGGTTGGTAGGTATTATGCCACAAAGAAGCAAAGAGCTTTAAGCATCATCCGGGACGCAAGTTGACGATCCGATCAAGCCTCACGCCTTCAGGTGTGGTACACTCTCAGGGCGTATATGTACTCGACGTCGTTGCATGGAAGACTGAGAGAAAGAACGGTGTTCTTGCATATGAAAGTCAATAATAAACATAAACAAGAGCTCGACAAGGAATGAAAGGAGTGCATTCTTAGTCACGCAGCCGGGTTTTTACACCGCGCCATTGCGTTACTAAATCAAGCGGTTGGAACGCCAGATTGGGAAAGTATAACAGCCCAGGCTGAACCTCAAAAGTCATGGGAGTTTCAACTGGAACGCAGTAATAGCCCCGGGCAACTCCGTACGATCACCGACTCCCCCCGCTCTCCTACCACCATTGTGTATGCGGATATGCACCCAACCATCCCCAGGATTCCTTTTGCGGCCGCTTCAGGGCTCGTAAACGTTGTTGGCCCAGCTAAAGTCGGAATAGGGCATAAGTGGCACTCTGTTTGTGATGTGACAAACAAGGGAGGACGGGGTTGGAAGGTGAGAGTAGTGTAAGTGGTAGGGGGTTGATTTCCGTACCCCAGTTACCAAGCTCGTCCACGTTTGGAAGCTCTCGAGCTGTAACGGGAAAGGGTCCAAACAGTCCATCATGTGTATCCCTGAGCCACACAGAAATTGACAAGGCGCGATGATGCATCTAACCTCCCGATCTGGAGGCGGTGATAGCAGCTGATAGGTGTTGTGGCGGGCAACAAGAGGGAATGGATGCCACCGATGGCCGAGACATTGGAATGAGAAGCTGCACGAAACAATGAGACAATAATCGCCCCTCTGGCGCTATGCTTCAACTCATCTCCCCAGCAACCTAACCTTCAGTGTGAACCCTCATGGCATAGAAGGCGCACAAGTCCCAAATGTCATCCATCCGAGGGAATCTGCCCCCCTCGGCTTTGAGCCGGAGCTTTGGGTTGGTGTCTCAGATGGGATGAGCAGTGTGCATGGAGCAAGGGCTAGTCGGCTGGATTCCGGAAGTTTGACTGCTACAAATCGGTGTCGAGGAGTCAGCTCATGCCAAGGTGCGTCATAATATGTACGTCGCTTTTGGGAAATAGAAGCCCATGTCCGTGATGCCAAAGTGGAAGAACAGGACGATTTCCAACGGTTGTTTCGAAACCGATTGGGAACAGGATGTTTGTTGATGGAAAGGGGAAGCAAACTTGACGCCTGAAAGTTACATAAAGTGTGGGTAGCGAATAGAGGACAAAGCAGGATCTGCAGTTAGGGTCTCTGCTGCGCTGAGTACAAAGATCATCCCTACCCTTCGCCTTCTCTTTTCTTTTTCTTCCTTTTGACGTTGCAACATGGCGCTGGTAACGGCCCTTTGCCCACCATGCTCTTGCCAAAATCACCGAAAAATAGCTGCACTAAGCACTCGTTGATTTTCTGCCATTTGTTTCGTTTTCCCCCATATTTGCGCATCTTGACCGCCGGCCACGCGCTGTGTTGAGAGGGTGAGTTTGATTCCGTTGGTGAAGGGTAGGTGGCTCTGCTAATGCAGTTGGACGGGACGTGATTAGTCACAAGGGAGCTTATAGAGACGACAAACGAAGGCGGACCAACTTGACGACATGTCAAGTTTGTGTAGACTACTACGTTTGACTTTGTTGGTGATCGAAAAGTTACCAACTTGAACACGGAAACTGGCTGGCTGTAAAGAGAGATGCCAGGCATAGCGTTCAACACTGGCAAGGTATGTCGTGCATGCCAAATAGCCCCGAGAAAGCGCGATACCTTTGTCAATCGTAACCTCACGGACGATATAGTCTTGATGAAATCTGCGGAAGCCTCCGGAGCTGCGGAGAATACCGTCGGGTGATCCAGGTTATACTATCGACGTCCTCCCTTGGAACACTTGCGCTCTCTTAACCGGGCTCATATCCACCACTTGGACGCTTGGCTTTAAAAATATTTTTAGTAGGATTGTTAGCTTTAAAGTTATTTAAAAAACTGAGCCTAACTTCGAAGATAATATAAATAGCGCGTTTCCTTTGAGCGTTGTATTATTGATCGCATCTTAATATATTACAGCTACGAATTAATTACCTTGAGTTGTAACAATATCTACAACTACGACTTGGCGGAAGCTGCTACCTTATATAAATTTGAGTACGAAACTATCTCTAGTTTGAAATATACCAATATTCCAAATCAATTTGGTATTGATAGTAGTACTATATAGTACCTTATTGTTAAATTTGCTTTTATTAAAGATTATTAAAGTTGAGACTTTGTTACGCTTTTTAATTAAGTAGATATAATAGATGGGAATTTGAAGAGATTAATCTACTATATTAATAAGCGATTCGACAACGTATAAACTATATATAATTCTATAAGAAATAATATCGCTTTGACTAGTACTAGCGTTACAATTTCAGATAATAAAGTTTATTAAGTTAATAATAATATAATTATTATAGATAGTAAAGTGATTTTGTTATATATAGACGTTGTCTCGTTCACATAAGAATTTAAGTAAGTAATTGAAGCTAATAAGTAAATTAAAATAAAACTACTTTTTAAAGGGGGTAACCGCTTTATATTACGCGGGAAAAATAAGAGTACTATATACTTTGTTAATAGCTTCAATAAAGTTTTCGGCAACTTAGAAGCGTATTTAGAATTCTTAAGTAAATTCCTCGTTTACTTTGTATAGTATAGCTATAACATCGTCCTTAAAAGACGCTATTATATTTATTTTAAAGAGTAAAGTAATTTTTGGTCCTTCTTTGAGAAGATAAAAAGTCGCAACGATTGTATTGGTATTTTAGCAACAAGTTAAGATACTTAATCCTGATTGGTTTACTTTCGAAAGACATCTTTTGATTAGCTGGAATTAGTTTAGAAAAATATTTTTTGGGGGAAGGTGCTATTATCTAACTGTTGATTAGCATATTACGAAAGTAGGTTCTTGATTGTTTATATTCAATCGAGGTGGTTAGAGCCTTAGGCTTGAAGATTCACTATTACTCTAGATCCTAGGCAGATGTATGTCCGTAATGTGAATGTTGTAAATATGCTCCAAATGCTGTGAGATTCGCTAAAATCCAACCACAAAACCACACACCCTCGTCCTCTACCGCTACAACGACGGGCCAGTCCAGCCCTCTCTTTTCAATGCCCACCTCACCGCCTCCCGCGCATCATCCACAATGACCTTCGGCTTGAACCTCCCTTGGATTGCTTTCTCACCCGAGTGCTCCGGGCTCCACACGCCCGTCCGCACTAACACCGATGACCATTCCGTCCCGGCCTCGCTCTGGTAGTCGTTGGCCCCCGCGATATCGCTTTCGGGGTTATCGCCCACCATATACACGCTCTTAAGCGTGCCAGGCTCGTGGTGGCCGCGACTCTTCAGCACATCGTGCCTGTGCGTCGCCAGCACCCTCTCGGCAAACTGATACGTTTCGCTGTACGGCTTGCCAATCACCCGCCGCTGGAGCTCATGGCCGTTTGTCAACCGCCGCCATACGCCTGCCACGGCAGCCTGGAACGCGCCCTGTCCAAAGCGCGGAAGGTGGAAGCCAGTGCTCCAAAGCAGGTCCGCGTTGCTAAAATACAGCTGTGGTTGCCCATCCTGCTGCCAGCCGCACCCGGGCAGAGCAGCGTCGCCATTCTTGGGCGAGTAGGTGCCCACGTAGCCCTCTTGCGAGAGAAGCAGGTCGGTGATCAGCTGGATGTCGTAGGCCCAGTCGCGCGGGTCGTTGAAGACGAACATGGCGTCGATCTTGAGCGCGTCCTTCAGGTTCATGCCGGATCCGGGCGTGAAGACGGGCTTGGGCAGCGGGCGCGCGGTCGCGGTGTATACGGTGTCGAGGAGCGGGTCGAAGGGGAAGACCTCCGGGTGGGCCTTGATGATATCGGCCGGCGTAACGACGTTGCGGAAGCCGTAAGCCTCGGCGATCAACCGGCATTTTTCAGCGTTGGCGCCCGTCACGAGGATGGTCTTTTCCCTCAGGCTGTCAGGCCCTCCGACAAGCTGGCGGAAGGGCGTGTGCGATTGGACAAAGTTGTCAGTCGTGAGCTCGATGCCAAGCTTCTGGCTAAGGTCTTTTACCCGTTCGGTCTCGTGCTTGCCGCCGCCGTTGGTGAGGAGGATGAAAGGGATGTTGTTTTCGTTCAGGAACTTGAGGGCTTCGGGGGCGCCGGGAATGGGCGTCGCGACGTGGAGGAGGACGCCATCAATGCTGCGGTATGTGAGGTTAGAGATTGGTTAAACCACGAGGTGGGTGATGTTATGAAGTGACCTACTCGAAAGCAAAGGCAAATGGAGGTGCCTCAGCCTGTGGGTTCTTGGTGCTGTACTGGCGAGATTCCCGGTCATTACTCCTGCTCAGGCTTCCTGTCTTGCCAGCCGAAGTCGAGAATGGGGCGCTTCGCACATGCTTCTGCGTTGCGCGTGGTAGGCTAGAAGCGGCGCTTCGGATGCGACGGGATATTTGGGAAGAGGATGGCGACGACGATGTCAAAGCAGTGAGGTTTGGTCGGGCGAAAGCGGTGCCCAAGATGCGTGAGCCCCTCATTATGTCGGTAGTACTAAAGTTTGACGTGGTTGATCTCGAATCTCGGGCAGGTATATATCAGTTGATCATAGGACTCGGAGAAGAATAGTCGATTCTACAAATATCACAAGTAAACAAATGTCGTCATAACATGGTTGGGACGGAATTCGGTGGAGTACTCTTCTTCGTCTCGTATGGAGCTTCCCACGACTTCCATCCGACCCCGTCCGGTGTCCATGATCCCCGCCATACTGGAGTGCTTCCGGCAGAATTGGCCGGCATCGGCGGCTCTCAAAACCGCAAGCCCACCGGCAGACGGGACCCTGATCTTATCATTGAAGTGGGGCAAGGTGTGCAAGGTACAGCCAGTACGGCAGGCGAAATATGCACTTGTGAACGCCGGAGTGCAGCTGCATGCCAAGAAATGTACCTGACAGTGTTCCTGTCAACTGCCCCACTATGAAATTAACAGGGGAATTGAACTGGAAGCTCCCGTCAGTCTCGTCTGCTTCGAAAGCTCATCAGTGCACTCAATTTACTGCGAGTGAGTGACAGAAGTGACGGACTGCGCTGATCAGATCAACAAGTTGATGGGCATGATGCACACCACCGAGATGAGAGCGAGAGAGTGAGCTGACCGTTTCCGCTTCCGGTGCCCTGGATACATACACTCCAAGTTTTTACAAGGCTTCCAATCAGAGCTGCGTTTACCATCGGGATTGTGTGTAGTTTCCCAAGCCTTGTTATTTTTCCGCATAAGAAAATAAAGGTGTGGATGGGTTTGAGCAATACGATTGGATACCTACCTATCAAGCCTTCAGACCCCCTAGCTAAGAAAGACTGACACACTGAGGTCCTCTCGAGAGAGGGTTAGAAAAGGATGACAGAGGCAGGCTGGGTTGGAATGCCCTCTCCATACCTTACCTATCACCATGAGTAAATTGGTCCCCTCATATCTTCATTCCCTGGTTCCCACCAAGGTATGTGATGTGAGAGCTGGAGGTATGTATGATGTGTCCTATCTTGGACGGTCCTGGCGAGAGGTTCGCCTTTTCGTCACAGCATAGAGACAGACGCCAGAGAGGCACCATTCGGCTACCTATAGGCCTCTACAGTACTGTGTAGATCCACGATTTTGCCGCCCAGGTCTAATACCTTCGTACCACAACGCCACTTGACAACCTAAATGCCCCGGAGCCCGGCAAGCTTGAAGGTAGGTGGCCAGAGCCCAAAGAAGAGGGAGTTGATCCGCCTCCATCTTTTGCCCTAAATCATCTCAGTTCATTAAAAGTTCATCCACACTATTCTCTTCACCGTTACAACCAGGTGGAATTATTTGTGGATTATTCTCTTGACCTTTCAAGCGCCACCTCGGCTACCTCTTCTACCTTTCTCCTTTCAAAACTGCCTTGCCCTTTTTCTTTTCCTTCACTTCGCTTCATGGCGGACGTGATCCAAAACTTTATGACATTTAGGCGCTTTCGTCTCCCCCCGGCTTCTTCTTCGTCGACGACATATCATCCCCATCTATCTTGCATCATGTTCCCTCTTCCAGGCCTTGGTCGTTCGTTGTGTTTACCCTCTCATTCTTCCCTTTTGGATTCTTTTGCAAATATCAACCCAACAGGTCACCTTCGACCGACCCCATGCGAAATTTTATACGACACAATCTGAGGAAAGCAACCCGGAAGACCTAAAGAACCCGTTTGATCAGCGACAACCGTGCAATTCGAACACCTTTCTACAGCCCATCAGTGCTACGCCTTCCCGGTCCAAAAGAATCTTTGATACATCGCAACAACGGCCAAAGCAAAAGATGCACGCATACATGTCGTGAGTATGGCGGTATGACATTCTACACTCCCCATTCATTTCTGCTCCCCTCCCATCCCCTGTTTTCAAATACTCTGAGAAAGAACCGCACAATTCTTCTTTACATCTTGATATCTTGTTCACCTTCACATCCTACAAAGAGCCCTGTGTGTTCCACGCTGAATAAACGTCATCATATGCATTACAAAAAGGCAGTAAACAATAGCAAAAGTCCATGCTCCATCCCCCTTTCTCCCCTTTCTCTCCTTCATTTTTTTCCCAGTCATTTACTCACACAAACTCCACCATCGAGAGCTGTTTTGAGGGCAAGTGCGTTGCTGGCCCTCGCTCAACATCAGAGATGCTATGCGCAATCATTCGGAGATCCAATTATGGGCTGCTGTGCTCCCAAGCAATGCCTCTAATCGACTCAAGGGCAACAGAGTCGAGGAACGGCCTGCCTGAATTTCTTCCGCCATGCCATCCATCGATTCCAACACCATCTTCCGTCATCAAACCGAGCGATGGGTACAAAGATATATACTGTTAATCTGACAATTTTCCGCCGAAGTCGGAAGCGAATATCGAAGCAAAAGTTGCGAGAGCCTAAGCAGGCTACAGTACCCAAACAGGAACAGGCGATGGGTGAGAGTATGCTGTTCCGAATATGTGCGTCGTGCGGTGTGGTAACCGCGCGACAGTTCATTGTCACGCCTGGCTGACTCGGCTTGCCGAAGTGCGACTACGTTCGTCCTCTTCCAGCACGTCGCTTAGCCTTGTTGGGTGATGGTGTCGCGGCATCGTTTCCCATCCAGGCGCTGCGTAGCCTTGCCCTCCATATCCGGATGGTTCAGGGTACGTGCCGCCGTATTGCGAACTCGACGGGGGATAGTTGGTCGCAGGATTCGAGGTAGGGGTTTCAAAATCCTCTGTCGCCTGGTCAGATTGGTGAGCTTCTTCCGGGGCGGGTGCTAGGGTAAGGGATATTGTCTCTCCTCGACATTTTCGACAAAGTTGTCATCAATATCGCCAGTTCAACTCACCTTCGTCATAGCCTGCTTCTGAACCCGCCCCATACTCTCCAGGTGGTTGCGTGGAGGTATCGGGTTGTTGCTGGTAATATCCGCCACTTGGTTGGCCAGCGGCAGTCGTGTTCGGTTGGGCAGCGGACCCTTGAGTATACTGAGGGTACTGCGGATTTTGTGCGGCGACATAGTCGGAAGTATCGGATTGGGTTCTCTGATGTTCCCGCGTGCTCGCTTGGCGATTAGGAACACCCTGCGTCATCGGCACGACCTGGACGCCGCCGACTATTGTTGGATGGCCCTGCTGAAGAGAAAGTGTGCGGTCCCTTTCTTCCTGTTCTCGACGACCAAGTTCCTCCCATGCACGACGAGCCTCGTCTTTCGAGATTGATAACTCTTTCCGCATCTCGGTAAGTAATTTCTGAGTCTTCGCACTCTCGCGCTCCTGCTCCTGAGCTTGACGGGCGACTTCAGCTCTGCTTCGCCGTTCCTCTTCCAAGGCGTTCTCGAGCATGGCGTTAGTCTCCTGCAGGCGCTCAATATCTGACCGCGTTTCGAAGAACCAGCGCTGGAACTTCCTCTCGGAACTGGCGCGTAGCCTTTGCAGCTCAACGACGGCATGAAAGAGGTTGGCACCTGCTGCTGATAGGTCGCTGACCTGTCTGGATAGCTGAGAAGAGATCGGGTTTCGGTCGAACTCTTCGGTATTCTCCTGGAGTTTACGTATCCAAAAGCTGGTCATTCCCTCCCAGTGCGCTGACAGGGCTTCCCATCGCTCAAAAGCATGAGGGAACGAGTTCTTCACTCTGGTACCGGCATTCGGCGCTGACGGCTCGCCTGCACCGCCAGTCCCAGTGGCCGGTGTGAAGCCCTGGGGCGCCTGATTTGGTTGACCGGTGCGAGCTGGGCGCAAAGGTTGCGACACGTCCGCTTGTGGGGGATTCCCGGGCTGTACCTGAGGACCACCCTGGGACTCTTGAGCCCGTTTTTGCCTACGTTGTGTGGCTGGGTCGGTGGCTACGTTACCACCGGGTGCAGCGCCAGCAGCAGCACTTCTCCTTTCGGCATTCTGTCGACGCATCTCCTCAAGCATACGCGCCTCCTCTTCAGCGCGAGCACGTTCCATCTGCTCTCTCTCGGCCTTTTGTCTTGCCTCCCGTTCAGCACGTTCACGCATGATCATCCTAGGGCCACGGATCACTTGCTGGGGGGAGCCAGTTTGAGAAGGTACGGTAGGTCGTGATGATGGCACGACATGACCATTGGAAGTAGCGGGGCCGACGCCGCCGCTCAGTAGATCCGCCATCGAAGCGTTTTCTTCGTCCAGGTCTGGGGAGAAAGAATACGGTTGTCTTAGAGCTTCCTCGAGAGCCCAAAGGATAGCGCTCTTTGTGTGTCGAGAAAGACGGAGGGGATTAGAGTGGGATAAGGAGGAGGTCCGTTCGGGGATAAATGACGGCTGGGGTGGGAATGTGTCTTCGTTGAGATCGTCGCTGCTATCTTGTGAAAGGCGTTGCCGAAAGCTCTCGTGTGGTTGATAGGGTTGTCCAAGTCCGGGGGGACTAGCGGTCGAGAAGATGGGTTGGGGTGCGATGCCAATGCTGGCGGCCTCGAGGTGAATGCGGCGCGAAGAGCGGGATGGGCTCGGAGTCGGGCTCGGACTACGGGTGGCTTGAAAGCGCGGTGTTCGACGGAGAGTTCTCTGAGAAGACGGAGTGGGGGATGCGTCGTCCGATGCAGGTGTCGCCGTGGCTGACCGGAGAGGAAGAGTGCGCTGCTGGCGCTGTGTGAGCGTTATCGGGTTGTAAAGATCGCGAGGGTTCTGGGATGGTGGAGGTTGGTGTGTTCCGGCGGCAATATCTCCCTCATCGCCAGCGGGCGCTGGTGTGGTTGACAAGGTGAAGGGTCACCACCCTGGTGGTGACGAAATGTGACGCGCCTGGTAGGCTAGGGCGGGCTGGAATGGTGGGCCGAAGGCTGCGATTTGGGTCAGATGCTGCCGTTACATGCAATGCGCAAGGCCAGGGAAGGGGAAATTCTGCAAAGCAGGCTGTTGATGTTTGCGGACAAAAAGGTTGGTGGTGGTGTCCATGGCTGTCGCAACCGAGGTAGGTACACTCCGTCCCGACAACCGTCCGCCTTTTCGATTATCTCCACTCACCTTGATGTCTGTTCAGCTCGGAGTACCGTGTATCATGACAGGATATGAAAGCAATATCCTGGCAGGAATGGAAGTGCAAAGGGAATATTCCTGTTCTTCCAGTGAGGAGTGAAGAGCGAACAGGGGTAATGCAAACAAAGCTGGTGGATAATTGGGGATTTGAGGTAGCTGTCGCGAAAAATGGACGAGGTCGGGTTTGGTGATGGGATGCAATTGGAAAAAATGCGTGGCTGGTGAGTTTTGGTGACGAGTGTTTGAGGACCCAAAACAGGCGGGCGATTGGACAGCACTAGCACTGGACCGTAGCGTAGGTACTTGTAATTCGATCTCGGGCAGGGCAGGTTGTCGGTTGGTTGTCCGGGCGTCAGCAAAGGTGCAGGTGATTAGAGGTAGGTCTAGTCATTACAATAGGAGCCGAAGGATTTGTTGAAGAGCAGAAGGAAAGCCAAAAGTCCCTGTCGGCCGGGTGGGTGTCCTTTTGAAGGTAGTACCCGTTGTTGACTCGTGTAGTCGTGTCGGACAACCAGAGGACGACGAGCTGCGGGATGATGAGGCTGATGGATTGACAGCAGGGTGAAGTGATGCTGAGATGGTGTAGTGGGTTGTTCCAGGCCGGTCAGAGATCTCCCGCGTTGCTGCCCGGGCAGCATCAACCCTGGACAGAACCTGAAAACCTTAACACACACTCTCTGCTGAGATGCTTCCCTGCCCGCCTCCCCCAGGCGGCGCCCCTCCACCTCGGGGTACCTTCTAGAGGTACTGCCACTCAGCTATAGCACCTCTCTCCAGCAGGACAGATGTCGCTGCCCGACCGCTTGTAAAGACCGTCACGACAAAACCACATTCCCGCCCTTCCTTTTTCTTCACCGCCTCACCACCGGCCAACCTTTTGCCAAGCCGAAAAATTGGTCGGCCGTCAATGCACAATGATTAAGGCGTCGTTAGGGAGTTGGCTCGGGCGCCAATGGCTTGAATTGGTGTCGATTCGTTCAGCCGGGTGAAAGCCTCGCGGTCGGTTGTTCATGTCCGAGTCGGGAAAGGATGAAGCTGTGGTTGAGTGAGGTGCGTGTCGACGATGCCATCATTTTCCCGGACGGAACAACTACTTTATAAATGACTGGGTCCTAATAACCACTACGCACTTGCCGCTCGGCAACGCAGATTGACTTGGAAAGTGCAGGTGCAGTACACAAAACGCTGCAGAACGATATGAAGTTCCCGCTCGGGAAGGCACGCATGGAAAGGCACGCATGGAAAGGCAGACAGGTGCGAAGCACAGAGACTGGCGAACCCCGCTGTTACCTCTGCGCAATGAGGTTTGAGACAAACGTCACGGTTCCTTCCTGTTGGACTTTATCGATCCCTCTTTCTTCTTTGCTAGGCCACGCAGGCCAACGGGAAATGTTTCATTGTTTGTCAATCTTTTGCTACCATCTTTCTTTCATTTTTCCCACGCCAACAGACAGCATTTTGCGCCCACCAAATAATCGACTATCCCATATGCCCCGAACCAAATCGAAGCCGGCGACGCCTGACACTACTACGACAATAGGTAGCCGGCATGGCTTACTCGGACTGAAATATATCTGCATATCAGTCTGGTTGATGCTGTTCAAGACCGCTGGAAAGTTCTTGATCTCTGCAAGGCAGCATGGTCGGGCAACCGGAACAAGACTCGCATCTTGCCGTCACAGCATGGCGGTTGTGACACGGGTAGGTCGGTCGATACGAAGTGGCCCGTTGAGACAGTCTGAAGATGCGGCGTGCTAGTGTCGTCGTACAAAAAACGCTCCCAAATGCACTCTTCATTACATCGACCATTACCATAACAGACACTATCATTATATGGGAAGAACACTGAAGCTCCAGCCAAGACAACTCCCTCTCTTAAAAGGTCATCTCCCGAGACTGAATATCAGCTTCTTCTTTGCGTACACTACAGTACGACAGTACATATCTACTGGTTGCTATCCGGATCACCTTCTTTACAACCGACAAGCAAGCGGTTCGGTCAGAGGCGAATACCACAAAAGTCATGTTGGCTCGGATTGAGCGGCTGGCTGATGGAGGATAGCCTGGATGTGAGGCAGCTGGAAGTTGGAATGGAAGAAATCGATGCGTTGGCAGTACATGAGACGTGACGAAACTCATGCACCAGTGTTGCATTCTCCAATCGCCGACCTGTCTCAGGAACCCCAAGATCCCAAGAGGATGGTTCAGGGCAGACTGCCCACAACCCGCTTTAGCCCCAACCCTGGTCCCATTCTCAACGTCGAAGGTTGTCCAAACCAAGGCCCTTACTTCTCACCATGGCCAATGTCCTTTCTCCCGAGACCCTCATCCTCGTACCGCATGGCCTCCACGCCTGTCTGACGTCGATGTTACCCACTGGGTTCCCTCTCACGACTCGATTTCCAAGTTGGGAAGGCAGGATCGAACATTCTCACTGTGGAGCCACCGAGTTCTCATGACAGTGTGTTGCCGCGGCTTCAATATTTCCCCCAGGCTATTGCCCGAAGGATTTCACTGGCCTTGATATATTTGTCGAATCGGGGATCCATATGAAGATGCTTGTGGGTCCTCTTCTTGAAACGAACGCGAGAAGATCATCTAATTATGGAAGGCTCAGAGGCTCAAACGTCTATAAGACAGCTCCCATACCTACCTCATTACGCATGACATCCGGATTACCAGCGGTCTTCATGACGCAGAGAAACCCGGAGAATACTACCTCTTATCGGATTCGTTGAGGAAGTGGGGGAGACATGGAAGTCTTAAAACATCTCACTCGCAGTGTCTGATGCCGTTGTCCATACCTCTTACCACTGAAACAGATGGTCCGAAGGAAAGGTTGAAACTTTGCCATTACAGTACAAATCTGCCCTCCTAGCGAAAGAGCTGATTGGTTCTTTGACAGTGAAGTTTTGGAACACCGTCGATAAGCTCGTGGGACACGGTGGACTAAGTTCTGCTAGACATCATGTCTCACGAGAAACCACTCCAGCCCTCAACCGGAGCCCTCCAGTCTGTGTCCTTTATCCTCGGCGGGCATATTAGCAGCCGAGATGTCAAAGCATTGATTGCTATAACTTTCACAGCAGGATATGCCAGTGTTGAAGCCAACATCGGTATGCGGTGAACTTTCCTTTGAACGCATGCTGGATAAACAATGATATTCTTCGGTTTTTGGTATCCTAAAGTGCAGTTGACTGCTATAACCAAGATATGCTATGGTCTAAAAGCAACCCGAACTCCAGTACAATGCCTCGACCGCATCCAGGCCCTACCTATATGGTGCTCCTAAAACACAACAAGCTGGCCATGAATGAGAGTGACTGAAGAGGTTGGGAGAAAAAAAGAAACACCCGCGGAAGCCTTCCCAAAATATCCAAACAGACTTAACCACCAAACAGTCCTATGATAAGTACTCAGTAAACCCAAAAAAAACAACATCATGACCCATATCCTCATAACCAAAATTTATCATCATTACCATCATTAAACATCATCATCATCATCATCATCATCATAAAACAACCACACCCTTCGCGCCAGATCATCCTCATCTCAAAAAGGGTTGATCCAACCCCCCAAACTTAATCTGGCTCTTCCGCACCGTAAACCTCCTCGCCCTCCTCACGCCCAACGTCTCCTCCCCCGTCCCCGCCGCGCCGGTACTGCCGCCGTACCCCAGCCCAAACGTCCACCTCGGCCTCGTCTCCGGCACGCCCCTGCCAACCCCAAGCTTCTCCTTCAGCTCCTCCCTGCTCCGACAGTGCTTGAACGCCAAGTCGCCCAGCAAGTCCTCGTTGGCCAAGTACGAGATGATCTCCGCCAAGCAGGTGACGCCGTGCGGGAACCGAAACGGCTTGCGCGCGGGGAGCAGGGACAGCAAGGCCAGGAAATAGAGCACGCACAGCGCCAGGACGATGGCGAAGGCCGGGAAGTTGGGGAACATGAGCACTTTCTCCTCGTCCGTGGGCACGTTGTGGTGGCCGTCGACCAGCGAGCCGGCCGGCTGCGTGAGCGCCATGAACAGGCCTCCGCCTAGGACAGGGAGCAGGATGAATAAGGTGGAGCACGCCGAGGTGAAGGCCACGCGCCAGTGGCCGTTCTTCAGAGCGTGGAAAGTGGCTGTCAGGGGCCCGCAGGCTGCGTAGTCAGCTAGTAGGGAGGCGTCGGCTGAGGCGCCGCCTTTGCGGTTGGAAGAGGACATGGCGGCCCATGGCTGGAGGATGCGGAGGTGCATGTCGATTGTCTGGAAGAGGAGATACAGGATCAGGCCGATGAGGGAGGGGATGAAGGAGTAGAGGAAGTTGGCGGCTGAGAAGGCACCCTGCACCGGAGCGGCGGGGAGGCCGGGGAGGAAACCGTTGGTGATGCGGGTCGCGGGGAGAAAGGAGACGACGAAGAGCGCGGTGAGAAGGACCAAGGCGGCGGTTACGAGAAGGAGGAGAGGAGAGGTGCGCAGACACCAGGGGAGGTAGCGGTAGCGGCCTTGCGGGGAGAGGGTCCCGTCTGAGGCGGCTTCCATGTCGTAGTCCCTCCCGGTGCCTGTGCCGGTGCCAGTGCCCGTTCCCGTCCCACTGCCGCTGGTGCTGCCGGCGACGGGGTTGATGTTGATGGAGGCCATCAGTCCTTGCTTCTCCTGGAACTTGGCCATTCCCTTGCCAGTCAGCTGGTCGGGAAGCGGCACGGCGATGAGCCCTTGGTCCATGGGGCTGCCCAGCGTGTACCACACGCCCGACCGGCCGTCCTTCCATGTCCAGTACCCGAGTCGGACGTTGGCCTGGTGGCGGAGCGCAAAGCGGATGCGCTCGCGGTTGCTCGCTAGTTGGGTACCTCTGTACTCGTCCGCGACGTTGGTCTCGGAGACGATGGTGGTTATGTCAGCCAGGGATCGCGGATCCCACGCCAGTCCCGTGGATCGCAAGGTCGCAAAGTACCTCCAGAGAATGGCTGTCGAAATAAAAATGACCAAGTACAGCGCCGCAGCAGTCCACGCGACGCCCTGGACCGTGGCCCACATCCAGACACCATCCACCCAGACGACCGTAAACATGGAGCTCAGCAGCGGAAGAGTCATCCCAAACACCCACGTCACCAGAATCGGAACCCACACCTTCCACGACCCGATAAGCTGCGGCGGCCAGAGGAACGAGCGGGGGTACATATCCTCAAACAGCGCGCCATCTCGTTCCCTGATGTTGGGCGAAGCCAGGTGCGCAAAGGGAAGAATTCGGAACGCGGTAATGATGATGAACTGCGCCCATAACAGCAACAAACCGCCCAGAAACTGCGGCAGGATCCGAAACAGAAAGTACGAAGAGCCGTAGATGCTCACGTACGCCGTCAGTCCGTTCTGCATCTGCGACCATACGGCGGAGAAGATGAGTGCGGCGGCCATGCAGAGGCACATCAGCATGAAGGCTACCAGCGAGCGCGCGGTTAGGGGCATCGGGAGGTAGTTGAGCGTTGGAAGGCCGTTGGCGCGGGGCTCGCCTATCTTGGCTATGAGCGCGTCTCTGTCCAGCGGCCTCCACTCGTGCGGTTGCGCTGGTCGTGGGCCATTCTTGAGTAATGTCGATGCGAGCGAGTCCGCTGAGGCGGCGGGATTGTTGGGTCGGAAGGGTGTCTGGAGAAGACGTCTGTCTTCTTCGAATTGGTGTTTCAGTCCGGGATCCAAGGTTGATGAAGGTCCAGTGGGTCCAGCTTGCTGTTGTTGTTCTTGATGTTGGTGCTGTTCCGGTACATAACCAACAGGAAGAGCTCCTATCCCTGGACCGGGAACAATATCATATCGCCCTCCTGCTCCTCCAGGTCCCCACTCACTACCGGATGACCCATCTCCCGAATAACCTGACTCTCTGTTCCCACGAGTGAGAGCTTCGATGGCGTACTGAACATATGGCGTGTCGTCGACACCTGGGGTGACCACCCCGGCTTCCCGGGCGAGGTCGTCTTTGAAATCTTGGACCGGACCTGCTGCTGCTACTGCTATCCCACCATCTACAGGTAAGCCCCCCGGCAGTGGCTGGTATGGATTTCGTTGCATTGGGTGTTGTTGCTGTTGCTGTTGCTGTTGCTGTTGAAGTCGAAAGGTTGTGGGCGGCAGAGGTGGTAAGTCTGGTATGACGCGTGGAGGTCCTTGGATGACAATGGGGCCAGCATGAGCTCGAACTTCGTTGTCTTGGCTTATTCCAGCAGTAGTTGGGGTTCCGGTCCCGTGGCCGCGGCGGCGGTGGTCGGCGGCTCCGCTATTTTCTTGTTGTTCGCTTGTGTGCTTGTTGTCGGTAGAGCCCCGGGCGAATCCGTTAACGAACGGAGGAGTAATCGGTGGTGGTGGTGGTGGGCTTGAAACTGACGGCTTCGGTTGAGCAGGAGCCGAAGAAGCAGGCCTGGACGTGAACGACAAGTCCGAGTTAAGAGCACTACTACTACTGACGCGGCGTTCTTCCGGGTGGCCAAACGTGCCTCCGGATCGGTTCGACGGCGGCCTTGGATCGGCGGTGAGATACTGCTGCGGATGTGGTGGGCCTGGAGCTACTAGTGGTGGGCAGTGCCGGTTGTTAGTGCATCCAGCTCGCTAAAAAAAAACAGAGTCTGGACAGCTACACGATTGCTTGCTGCTTGGATCATGGAAGGTTGGCAATATGACGCAGGTCTACATACGTGGATCAGGCTCCTCGGCATAATCGACATCTGAGTTGTCGAGGTTCATGCTTGGATATGCTAGGAACAAGGACAGGAACGGGAAACTGGAACCAGAACGGGCGATGCACGGGATTGGAGATTATGGAGTAGCGAATAGTAAAAGGCACCTGTGGGAGGTAACCTGTACGTCAGGAACAAGGAAGATGTGCGCGCAAGACTCGCAAGCGTCGTTTCGTTTTTGGTCCTTATTCGAGGCGATGATGAGGATTCGGCCAAGCTGTCAAGCTGATGATGATGATGATGCAGGAGGCTGGACCTTTACACTGGTCGCTAATTGGAGGGTGTTCTCGACCAATTGACCAGCTCAGCGTCTTGACGCCGTCCAAAGAGAAAAGATCCGTTCATTGCTGAAAGGGAGCATTATCAGAGGGAGCTAATGGGTTTGTACCTTTTGGCCATCTTTTCGCCCTGCTCGCCCTGTGACATGAATTCTGTGGAGGTTGGGAAGGACGACGCTGCCCGAGTGGCTTCGTATTGGTGGTTGGGCGAGCCGCGACCAGCCTTGCCAGCCACCCGCTTTCCTTCTACGTGGACATTGGTGGTTTGCGCGCGTTTGTTGGAACCTTTGGTGTCTCTGGGTATCACGCGCCATGTAACGCGGAGAATCTGACTAGTAACGAAATTCTTCGAGACATTGGAAAAAAGCCAGAAGTACTAGAGCTGTATGCAAGACGGGCCGAGTCAGGTTTCAAGCAATGGAAAAGAAAAAGACAACAAAATGGATGGAGCAGAAAGAAAACTGAAGAGGCATGGGCAGCATCGTGAAAAAGTGGAAGCAAGTCGTCAATCCATGTCTTGGCATCGCTAATTGGGCACTTACAATAGACTATTGACACAGTGCCCTTAACAATTTCAGTCAACTGAAGTTAAAGTTGAGACGAACTGCAACGGGCATATGCAATGCGGGGAGGCTTCATTATTTAAACTGTGCGCTTTCCGAAGTAAACATTTCAAATGTACATACCTGTGTTACAACGCTCAAGTAGAATACAATGTACGATAGACTTCGACATACCGAGATATTGACATTCACATCCGTGAGATCGAGGTCCAGCTATATCAATCCGCACTCCGCATGCTTCGTATGTAGATGTATCGCTATTCGATATCATTGGGACTAACAACTGCTACGCTATGCAGCCCTGGCTGGCCATGCAGGTCCCGTTAACGCCCTCGCATCGCAGGAAGCCGTCGAGCTACGTACGGATATGTGTGTATGTATGTATGAAAAAGCCCGACAGCATGGTAAGGTCGGGCCACTTGGCTGGGCTATGCGCTGGCCTTGACCCACCTGTCCTTATTCGCCTCATCTTCCTCTTCTATAGGTACTGATATTCCCCTCCTCTTTGCTGTTCGTTGAGAGCCTCGGAAGCCTCATCACTGCTCAACAAACTTCAGTCTGGAACGGACATTCGCCGGCAACTCCTCCTCCGTAATGAGCCCAAGGCGTACGCAATCCGCCCAGAAGAAAAAGGCCCTCTCCTGCGAGTATCCAAGGTAGTCGAACGCATCCGCTTCCTCTTCCGCTTCCAGCTCCTCGTCAGGCACGCTGCCGTCCGGTGCTGTCACTACGTCCTTGGTCCCGTTGGTAAGTCCCGGAATCTTAGCCTGGATGATGCCCCAGACAACCCATTGAGCGCTGTTCGCAATTCGCCAGAGCCTCGTTTCTTCCAGGAGTTCCTTGATCCTCTTCTCCGACTCGGCCTCGCGACGGGCGTCCTCTTCTTTCCATCCGCCTGGTGGCACGCGGGCGTCCAACATGAAGTCCACGATGGAGTTTGTCGAGTTGGTGCTCTGTAGCATGCCGGGCGCAAGGGTGCCCGTGCCTGAGGCCGTTACAGATGGTGTTGATGCACCAGGTGCCGAAGGGAACTTCGGCTGGTGGTCCACGTAGGCCTTGATGAACCGCCGCTGCTGCTCGAGGGTTGGATACTTGGTGGTGTCGCAAATGTGGGGCGTGACAGGGTCGTGATAGTTGTAGGTCCATTCGGAGAAGTGGTTGGCAAACTCCAGGCCGGCCAAGTTCGCGCCGGCATACTCGAAATCGATGACGATCAACTGCTTGTGTTCGTTGGCGGGCTGCAGCAAAGGCGACTTCTTGTCGTCGGGCCGGATGCGCAGGATGTTGCCGTATTGAGTCTACTGTTGGTCAGTAATGTTTCTTGGGGGATAAACAGTGTATGGGATGGACAAACATCATTGTGGGCAAAGACCAGCTTTTCCCTGATTGTGTTAGGGCTGCCGTAGTAGTCCTCCAGGAACTTGCGGTACTTCTGAACCATCTGTCTGAAGACGGGCCACTCGACGCCGCAGACGAAACCCCTAGTCTTCCAAGTTTCCTTCTGACGAGTCGTCTTCTGAAGCTCGGCCGCAACCTGGTTGTCGAGGTACATGGCCGTCTTCTCAGCCTGATCAAGCCACTTATCCCAATTCCTCCAAACACCCGGGCCGTCATCCTTTTCATGCTCAAGGAGCTCAATGCCGTCATGGAGTTCCCTCATGCGCTTGGCGATTTGTCTGGACGTTTCGGGCTCGCGAAGATTCTCCGGCGTCAACGTGGTGGAGTTGAAGTACTGCTCGAAGCGGCCGTTCAGGAAGGTACCGAGCAACCGAGGACCAATCTTCTTTCTCGCCAGACGCTTGAGAACACCCAATTCGATTTCTCGATCGATCAAGTGCTCAACTTGCGGACCGTAAACTCTGAGCAGGAGTTTTTCCGGCTGTCTCTTACCCTCCTGCGGAGGCAAAACAGACTCAGGAGGTGGTGACACGACATACACAGCGTTCGTCAGCGCTCCGCTGAGTCTTTCAACAGAGATGGTCTCACCACCATTGAGCGGAATGCGCCTCCATCCCTTCAACCTAAGAGTGTGTGCCAGCTTGATGATCTCGTTCTTGAACGCGAGCCAAGCCTGCTTCTCCTTCTCTTCCCTACGGCTGGCCAGCGAAGGCGTGTCCTCGTTGCCCGCCTTACCACCCGAATAGCTCATGGTCTTCGAGTTGTCAAGAAACACGTCACAGCTGGGAACAACGACATCGCCGTCAAAGAACTCGGTGTCGGAAGAGGCCGTACGGGCAGGTGGTGCCTTCAGACTTCTCCTAGATCGTCTGCGTCCAAGACGGGGGCCCAGTTGCGGGACCTGATCAAGGCCGAGGGCAGACATGCCGTCATCGAGGATCTTCTGAAGTCGATCCAAAGAAACTTCGCTCGAGTCTGAACTGATGGAATCTGAACGAGGGCGAGTCGGCGAGGAGACGGTAGGCTCCCCGTTCACATGGATGGGCGGTGTCTTGCGTCGCCGCAAAACCTTGATAGTCTTCCTAGTTTCTCTCTTGGTCTTTTCATGCTGAATCCATTCCGCTACTTGGGCGACCAGTTTCTCACTGATCCCGTCTACTTTGTTACGGTGGCGACCTTGTGGACCATTTGCCGGAGATTCATCCATCGGGGCAGGTGATGCAGTCAGTACCGTCGGACTGCCTGAGTTGTCGATGGTCGCTTGGCTGGTGAGTGAGGCGAGTGAGGTTCTCGATGGGGTTGAGGGAGGAGCAGGTCGGCCACCAAGTCTTTTGGCAACGCCCGCAGAGAACTGTTTCTTAACGTGGTGCTCTTCAACTGGAGGAGTCTCAGGTTCCGCAATCTGCACAGCTACGCAAAGTTAACCACAAAGACTCTCTAACCCGGGTTGGACTGGACATTTATATACTGGAAATCTCTGAGATTGGCAAAATGAGCCTTGCCCACTCACCCCCATGCTTCCCTTTGTTGACACGACATGGGCTGAAATGCCCACATCGGCCCATTCATCTGATCCACATTGTGATACATGAGACGAACGACCCTCACACCCAGGCTGCCGTTTTAACCGCCGGGCTTGTCTGGTAGCGAGAGCTTATTCTTGGGGTGGCACACGATAAAGGGTGGCTCATTGTGCGGGCGCATCATGGGTCGTAAAACAAGTCTCAACAGAAAGAGGGGAGAAACAAAGAGATATGGAAGCACCAACCTTTGGCAGATGCGCCTGAAGAGGCCGCTCTGTCGCTGTCACCCTCATATTTGAGTGCCGAACGTCTGGGGTGGATCGCTGCCCTGTTGGTAGACCCGTTCACAGATCCGTTCACAGGTTCGTTCACAGATCCGTTCGCAGATCCATTCACAGATCCGTTGACAGAGGGTGGCGCCGACATGGTAGCGGACGGAACAGATGAAGGTTTTGTCCGATGCGGCGCTATGGTAAATGGCGGTCGCGGTGGTCCAGACGAAAACGATATGGCGTAATTGGGATCAAATGTAGGAGTTTCGACTCAAGATTATTCACGGACTTCTCAAGATGTGTCGTCTGCGACCTTCCGAGCCGATCCGTCTCGTTCTTTGCGCGGGGACTCCACACGAGTGGGATGATAGTCGGCGACCGGAGTGGGTAGTGTGTGCTGGGAGTGAGCCTGGAACGGGTTGCGTTTGCCGCCCTGGGCCCTGAAGATCACACCGGAGAAGAACTCGAAGAGGAAACCAACGCGGCCTTATTGATTATGTGTCTCGGTCAAGTACGTGAATGGTAAATATACTCCGATGTGAGACAGTCTGTCAAGGCAAAGATAATGACTAAGATGGCGAGGGCATGAAGTGTAGGTGGTTAGGTAGGTATAAGACGGTGCCTGGTTATGCGTTCGGGCTCCACGGTCCAACGATAGAAAGAGCTGGAGTGTGTGTAGAAGTATGGGATATCCCGTCTCATTCCTGTCCTTATCTACGACTGCCCAGCCGTGTTAGTCGTCCTCTATCCCTTTCGTATGACCATGGAAACAGGGAAGAGCAATTCCTCAACACACCAAATGAAAAAAATAAAAGATGGCATTTGGGGTAACTGCAAGGGCCTCGACGTGGGGGAACGTATCGCAGGAAAGAGCAAAAGAAATCCAGGACCCTTGCTCGTTGGCGCAGTAGGCGCAGCCAATGGTTGGAAAATGTTGGAAAGAAAAAGAGAACGGCGCGAATGGGACCCGGACCACTGCACTACGGTGACCCCACTGTCTACGGTACGCTCACCACAGATTCGGAACCGCGCACGTGCTGCCCATGACGTAAGACCCGATAAGATAGGGCAGGTTCCGTTGCCTATTCTACCCGAGTTAATATTTGTGCCACGGCCGCCACGCGACGTATTACCACATTCCGTTCTCCTGGCCCCTTCTACAAGTACTTCACACGTTCGACGGAATACCAAGCGTTGCCTATGATGCCATTTTAAGGTTGCCTTGCATGTCAAAGGCGTTAGTTCGTATCCCAACGGTTTGGTCAAACTCCTGGCCTGGTCATCGAGTCCGTCACGTCAGGCTCGTCTTGTTCTACCCAGAGCCCGAGACGCGCATAGGACTCCAAGGAAGTCTAAAGTGACAGCAGATCCGAGCTCATATCGAGTATATCTGTTCGAATATCCTGGCTTCGTGACACCAAGTTACCGGCATAGCTCCCCAACTTAAAGATCATTCAATATACAGGTCCCAAAATGGACTTATCGTACACGTTTTCTACACTCCGTTCCTTTTGTTTATACAAAGTCAGAGATCCGTCTATTCCTTCCTCCACTTACCATTCCAGTCCTTCATGTGGTCCAAGATAACCTTGGCGGCCTGGTCAGGCGAATGTTGGCGACCGAGCGCCTCAACAAAGTCACCCTCGGGATCCATCAGGTAAAAGTAGATGCTGTGATCGACAAGGTAGTCCTGACCGGGCTCGACCTTGGAAGGCGTGCTGAAGTAGACGCGGTACGCCTTGCACATGGCCTTGATCTGATCGTATGTGCCCGTCAGGCCGATGAACTTGGGGTGGAACTCGGCGAGGTACTCCTTGAGCACCTGGGGGGTATCGCGCGCAGGATCGCAGGTAACGAAAACGGGCTTGAGAGCACCGGGACGCTCAGCCTCCACCTTTTCGAACATGGCCGCCATCTTGTCGAGCTCCTCGGGGCAGATGTCGGGGCAGTGGCTGAAGCCGAAGTAGACCTACAAAGAAAGTACGGGACTTGATCAGCGAACTTGAACATGAAAGCGTAGGGGCATTGTATTGTAACGGTCTGGGTCGACATCAAACTTACCAGGGAATAGCGACCCTTGAGGTCCTTCTCTGTCATGGGCTTGCCGTTATGGTCGATCAGTTCGAACGGGCCGCCGACCTTTGGCCTGCCAACACCCTTGGTTGCATCGGCTATCCTCTTGCGCTGCATGCGCTGCTTCTCATGCTCAAAGTACCATAGCAAGCCGGCGCCGGTGAGAACGAAGAGAAGGCCGGCCTTCCAGGAAAAGGGCTGCCCGCAACAGTCGCTAGTGTCAGCTGATTGTTGTCGTAGGGAAATGTGTGAGGGCGGAAGACGGCCGTCTAGTGGACGACACGCAGACGTACTCCCGAACGGTATTTGCTCTTTGCTTCCTCGACGGTCTTGTAGGTTCTGCGTTGCGCCAATGGCTGTTGGGGCTGGACTTGGAGTCTCGGGACGGTAGGCCGGGTGGTTCTAGCTGTCGAGATGAACCGCTGGCATTGCCTCGCGGGGGTCCTGGAGAGAACACTGGAGAAGTTGCGCATGGGCGCAACGGCGGCGTGCGACATGGTTATTCGGACGGTGGTATTGTGGTGGCTGACAATAGGAACGGGGTCTCGAATGTTGCTTTGCGAAACCAGAGGCGGATCGGATGACAGATGACGGGGAGGTGACCCTGAGGGCTGACGGGGGAGCTCCGGAGCTTGCAGCGCAAAATCTCCCCACGCAATACGGGGGCGGCAGTCGGCACGGCCTGTGCTCAAGCTTCCAGGTCCCGTCCCGCGTCAGAAATAAAGTGGGCCCATGAAGCTCGGGGGTCGTCGGGTTGACACGCCATGCGCTTAACGAGTACTGCCAAGCTTTTGGTATGTTGTTAGACGTCTTTGGATCGCGCGTCCATTCAAACCACCTTCATCCCTATCCCGATCCCAAATTCTCACACCAGGGTCACTACCACTCAAGCAGTATTGCGCCTGAAGATAATACTCAAGCGTGTTTCCGGTTGGGTTTCTTTGTTTTGGCATTCAATTTGACATGAAGTTACCGTGCGTCGAAAATTAAGCACAAATCAGTGTTCTCTCTGCACTGCCGGACACCTGCTGGTTTTGATAACTGGTGCAATTCAGGTTCCAGGTTGGTACCTGCACCCATAGTTCGGGTGAACTGGCGGTAGCTGCCAACTGCCACTGCCACACAGGTTGAGTAACAACAATTGTTAGCATTTAAAATCGTACTACAAAATCTGTCAGGATGGCCTCCTCGTTTTCAAACTCCTTTACCCTTGAACCGGCCGCATCAGAGGCAGCAGCAGCAGCCAGCCCAACAACGGATGAAAGCGGGAGACAAAGCAGTCCTTCGGTCGCCGGGAGCGAGCAAACAACCAAGAGCACCAACACCAACATCAATAAGAACAAAATGGCTTTTTCATCCGCCTCTCACTATATCAACGATGATCTTTCACACCAAGGTGACCATCACCCCTACAATGACTCGGCAGCCCCCAGCAGCGACGAGGACGGCAATCATATAATGGGTAATGCCAGGTTCGGATCACCAGCAGCCATGGCCAAATTACAGACAGCATCATCAAAAATACCAAAGTCCAGGAGGCGGGGTACCGCGACCACCATTAAGGCACCTAGGCGGGCACGGGCAGCGGGCGGAGGGGCCAAGAAAGGCACGGCCAAGGGAGCAGCAACAATAGGAGGAGGCGGCGGATCCAGGAAGAAGACCGACACATCGATGACGACAACCCTACCCAACGAAATCGACGATGGCGGTAGCCTGGCCGGTAGCCTAGTCGGAGGGCAGGACGGAGGAGGAGGCAGCGGGATGAGCGAGTCCGACAGCGGCCCCTACTGTATCTGCGGTGGACCCGACAACCATCGGTTTATGATAGCATGTGACCGGTGCGAGGACTGGTTTCACGGCGAGTGTATCAACATGGACAAGTACACGGGTGAGAACCTGGTGCAGAGATACATCTGTCCCAGGTGCGAGATTCCCGATCGTGGCTTGGTCACTCGGTACAAGAAGATGTGCTCGCTCGATGGGTGCAACCAACCGGCGAAAATCTACGAGGATGCCAAGGAGGAACGCAGCATTTTCTGCTCGCCGGAACATTGCAACGCCTGGTGGGATCAGCTGGTTGCCACGCTGCCACGGACAAGAGAGGTGGGCATGGACAACTTGACAAGGCAGGAGTTTATGGGAATTTTGAATCCTCCAGAGACAAAGCCAGGCCATGGAGATCCGCCATGGCATCTTGGGGATGAACCTTTCGGTATGTGGCGCTCACATTGTTCATTCATCGGCCGCTTAACCTTCACACCATGCTAACCCACGACGAACCAGGCGTCCCTCCAAACTTCTGGAAAACCGCCGACCTGGGCGTAGTCCTGACCCCCGAAGAGCGGTCCATTCTCGACCGCTCCGCCGCCGACCGCTACGCGCTGGGCGAAGAGATTGGGCTCTGCAAGAAGATGCTCCAGCTGCTCGACATGGCGGTGAAGCGGCGGGAGGCGGCCGTCAAGGTGCGCGATGCGGCCTTCAAGGCGCGCGAGGCAGCCATCAAGGCGGAGAAGAACAACATAAAAGGCATCAAGGTGGAGAAGAAGAACAACAACAACATGAAGCCGGAGAAGAACACGACCAAGGACCTGTGCGGCTACGACACGCGGCTGGACACGGTGGGCGCCACCCATGCCTTTGGCGTTTTCTTGAAGAGCGAAGAGGGCGAGGCCATTTTCGCAAGGGGCCGGTTGGACGCGCCTCTGGATATGCAGGCTTTGTTGGCTTCGCAAGTCCGTGTTAAGCGCGAGGCCGGAGAAGATGATGATGATCACGATAATGAGGAAGAAGATGATGATGAGGATGATGGGAGTGTCGATGGTGGTGGTGTCAACGGCCGGGGCCACCGCAGCAACGGAATGAATGGTGTTGGTGGTTCTAAACTCGATCCCCTGACGGTGGGCATGTGCACCAAGAAGAAGTGCAAGACGCACTCTGGGTGGATGGGGATTCTTTCCAAGAATGTTAAGCACACCATGAAGGAACTGGCGGCGGACGCGAAGGAGAAGTTGGATACGGAGACGAGGGTTCGTGCCAACGCGGCGGGAAGGTATAGGAGGAAGATGAAGGAGGATAATAGGGTGGTGGTGCTTTATCACAGCTCCGATGAGGTGATGAGTGATGAGGATGAGGAGATGGGTGGCCAGTAAGTAAAATATCACACAGGGTGCGAGGCAGTCACTCGGAGAAGTTATTGTTATCATTCTTGGCCGCGGATATATGCATTTCTATGGCCGGGAAACAGACTATACTGAAACACTACCATTCACTTATACCCGGTCGCTGTGTGTTTCGCCCACATAGGGTGCCCTTATTACCGTTTTGGACAAAATGGGCCTAAAATCATAGCCATTAATGTCATATCTCCATTCGCCTACACAGTGTTCGTATTAGTGACGAAGACCGGGGTTCATGCCATACGGGAAAACATCGATGACTGTGTGAAGGGCTTCAACGTTTTGGGAATAACTTAGTACAGTCATTACAACACGAGTATGAGTCCGTTCTATTGACTGTTTCTAACCCGCCTCGTTATTGTTTCTTTGCCACAAATATTCCTCGCAAAACGGCAGACTCGGGAAGGCACCCAGCCAACAGAACCTCCAGTCCTGGTGTCGAAGATCCTAGAGCTGGCGAGATGATGGAAGTCTTAGGACCGAGAACGGAGGGAAGATTGGCAGGCGAGAATTTTCCGCATCTGGTATAGAAAATAGGGTGCGTTCTCCTTGCACCATTCCCAGATAGGTGCGTAACTTGTTGCCTTTCGCACTCCTCCATCTTTACATTAATTATTTGAAACTGTCTAGTGGAAACATGAAGATAGCCATCGTTCCCCAACCATTTGCGTAACAGCTCCTTAGTAATATGACAGGGCTGTTATGGCAAATATTAAGTGAAAATATTATTGAACCCTTTGAAGTCAGAAAACATTGATAGCACAACACATGAAGGGGAAAAGACCAAGAAAGCTGACGGTAGTTGCTTGTGATATGGCACGGATCATACGATCTCGACTGGCACAGATTGATCTTAACGTAGGCAAGCAAGAATTCCGACATAGGGAGGGAACCTCGAAAAGAAATTGTCGGACCCGGAAGACTGTCGTTCATAGATATCTCCAAAATGATACCATTCAAAGTTCTCGATAAACGAATGGCACGACCCTTTAGCGATGGCCGAATTGTCCCCATCGATCCCTTCTGTGTAGTACCAATTGAGGTATTCACCACCTTCCTCAAGAAATTGAGAGCACACCTCGACAAACCGGGATCCGTCACCACCGTACCAAGCTTTTTGGTTACGGGTTGGCTCTCGCTTCTCTGTGGGCATATAATCCTTTGGCTTGAGGCGATAGTCAATAAGCCAAAGGGTCTGAACGGCCCCATTATCGGCAAAATGCATGACGGCATCATATATCATTTCGGATATGTGAGTTTTCGACTCCTTACTCCAGGTTGGATCAAACTCAATCGCAAGACCATTGCGTTCGCCGAAGCCGTAGAACCCCATTTTTGGCGACCAATGGGGAAAGCCAAGTTCGAGTTTCTGCCAGTACGAATCGTTACTATCTGGGGACCAGGCCGATGGGCGAATAATGAAGAGATCCTGATGCGGGAGGACAGTAAAGTAGTGCGGAAAGGTTTTGCTTTCAGCGGTAGGTTGCTCAGCTTTGCCGGTTCCTTCGGTGGCGGGCGAAAATGAAGCCGAGGAGGATGTCGATAGAAAGAATCCAGTCGCCGGCACCAGATGGGTATCAAGCCCCACATATGGGTATGGAGGATACTCGGGAGAAGGCGAGCGAGACGGGGATGGCTCGATCGGTGCAGGCGATGAAGAAATGTAAAAATCACGAGACCTCCTCCAGGCAATCCTCTGCATTGCTCGATAGTGCGGATAAGCCCACCTCTTCGGGTCCCACATTTGATGCTTAAAGGCCCTCTCCATTGCTGCTCTGGACTCTCTACAGGCAGTCCACAACCCCCCATCAACCAAGTATAATGACGGATTACCGGTCGGCCCGGACGACAATGTCCTCGCGGGAACGGCATTGTGAAGGAAGGTGTCGTCAGGCTCGTCAAAATGGGGCTCCAGAGAAATACGAGCGCAGTGTACGTCGTTTTCTTTGTATTTGGTGTCTTCTAAGCCTCGCTCCTCGACGCAAAAGACGTGCGCTCCAGGAAGGTCAAGTGGGCGGATAGAGAACTTCCATATCTCATTGCGAAGTTCCCAGGGTAGCCTCGGAAACGGGTGAAAGGTCGTGAGAGGGGCCATGGTAGGCGGCTGGCTTGAAGTTGACATTGTTTACTGACAAAACGATAGTGACATGGGTTGATATGAGGTTATCGGTTGCTGGGTCGATGTGATTTTGAAGTGAGCGGCTGTTGAATTCTCGCGCGGAGATATGGAGGGAGGTTTTGTCGACCTGGTAGCCTAGCCCTCTTGAATGTAAGCCTCGCAACATGCAGAATGTGAGAAGGGGTTGAAAGCGTGGACGAGGTAGAGAGGGAACGAGGAGATGATCGTGCGATGAGGAGAAGATCTCGCGACGAGGAGAAGATCGGGAGATGAAGAGGATGGAGAAGTCGCACGTTACCCGTCAGGTCGACAAAGTTGACCGTGTCTGATGGTGGGAGAGGAAGAGAGGAAAAGAAACCAAGGAAGGTGGGTGGAATGGGAAGAAACCAAGAAAAAGAAAAACCCTTGACCACGCAGCGGCTCATAACCAGGCGCATTTTTCGTGTGTAAACGGAAGGCGCGCCAGTTAACCACCACCTGCCTGTCTCGCTCGTATTTTTTTTAAGTAAACTGGATGGTACGGCGTAATCACAGGAGTGAGAAAATAAAGAACAGACGGAAGGAATGACGTTGTACTTTCCCCCGTTGTGACTTCCCAATCGCTGTGTTTCCCGGCGAGAACCTCACTCTATGGGTAGCTGCCTAGTAGTCCATTTCCCCATGAGCGCACAGTAATGAGTGACTACATCTTATTAAATTTCATCCACGGCATCTACCATTTGTCATACATTCAACGAAAGAAACCATCCCATACTTTCCCCTCCAAGGCACGCGTGTACAGGCTCGCGGCCAAGGTGATGCAGTCATTCTTCTCTCCGTACGATCAAGTTCCTATAAGCCGTGAGGCCCGTCTTGCCCGTCTTTCCTGTGAGCGTACTGTGCAGTCATGGATGAGGGGGGAAAGAAAGCGACCAAGATAACGTGTACATTCCCGAATTTTGATTTTCCGGCTCTTGTCTCTGTTTCCAACGATGACCTCACTCCAGGAGGCATCCCATACCACAGAGCCATGAATGTCGACCGTAAATATTCCTTTGAAAATGAGCGGTGCTGTTTTCCCCCTACTCCACCGTCGATATCCAAAAAAAAAATCGAGAACTTAAAAACGACATACTCCGAAATCGCTACTTATGCTTCCTGATGACTTCCTAAAACGCCCAAATGATCTTCATAACATGTTTTTGCCGTTGGTCGCGGGACCTGGTTCCTTCTATTTGCTTCGTAACCTGGAGGATGTTCCTCCGATTTTCTGAGGTGTGTATGTCGGTATCGTTATTGTTGTTGTTGCCTTCCTTGGGATGAACTTGCGTATCATCGTCCTGTTTTGACTTTTCGTCCTTTTCCCATTGTTGGTGCTCTGGCCCGCAATATTACCCGTTGATGAATGGGTTGACATGAAACTCCATCTCGAGTCCCTGATTCCTCCCATTCTGGCTGGCTCAACTCCTCTGCCTCCCTGAACTCGAATGATGTCCATGACTGCGATGGGACGAGTGACGGTGTCCATGTCCATGACGGTCCCTGCGCGACGAGCCACTCCTTTCTAGCTCTCGCTCCAAGTCCTCAGCGCGCTGCCGAAACCCGGCCACGATCTCCCGAATGTGAGCTATGCGGTCAAAATCCAGCTCGAGCTCGTCGATCTGGGCCATGAGGGTGTGGTACCGCGCAATTTCCCGGTCGGCATTATCGACCAGGTTGCCGGCGCGGTCGTACACCTCCAGGTTAACCTGCTGGGACTGCTCTATTAGATACTCGAGCTGCTGCTGGATGCGCTGCATGACCCGGTCAAAGTGTCGGCCCAGGGCGGCCAGCGAGGATGGGTCCATGACGAGAAGGCCTTGGGACGAGGCCCGGCTTGCTGCGCGGGACGAGGTCGACCCGCCTCCGCCGCCGCCGCCCCCTGCGGCTGCCACTGTTTGTTGGCCATGTCGTAGCAGTTGTATCTCTTCATTGCTGAGTCCTAGTTGCGTGTCAGGCACGGCGTTCTCCGGGGCGTGTGAGGAGGTCGACATGACGGAGTAAGACGGCTATGGTACCCCAATCCCACGGTGGTATGTGTGACACGCCGCGGGGACCGGTGCGGTGCGGTTTGCGGATCCGAGAGGATCTGCTCCCCGCGTTAGAAAGGTATGTTATACCGGGAATTGGGGGATCGCGAATCGCGAACCGCGAACCGTGCTGGCTTCGTGGTGTGTTGTAAGCGAATGGACAATCCAAGGCCAGGAATGGCTAGCGTCCGGCGCGGGCGGAAATCGGTAGGTCGGCAGAGTGTATGATACGATTGGGCTCGGGGCTCGGACACGGTATCGTGGACTTCGGCGTCCAATCGCGAAAGGGGGCCGAAGTCCCACCGGGGGGCACACGGCGCAACGCGGATCTTTTTGGCAGAACGTGGAAAGTTCTCGGTCTCGATCTTGAAAACTCGGTATCTTCCACACATGGAGGTCGGATTTTGCCGCAAGGTACCTCTAATGCGCCAAACCGCTGTTTACCGAGGGACCCCGGGGGTCGGCGCTGCGGGGTAAACGTAGCAGAGGTAGTCTTTCCCTTTGGACGGCGTCGGCACAACGCTCGTCTTGAGCCTCGACACTGTTGGCACTTGCTGGTTCCCACGGATTCACAGGGCGCCACCACTATTTTGAGCGTCGTCGCCGTCTGTTGCGCGCGCGGCTTCATTGTCCTGTCTCGCGATGGGAAGCAAATTCGTCTCTAGGTGCGCATCCCAATCGAGCTCATCAGAAGCAAGCAAGGCCCGGTTGGGAGTGACAGTAGCGCTCGGCGAGAATGGGGGGGTTCGATGCGACGAACAATGTAACGAGGATGGCCGTCAGGGTCGGAATCGGGTTCGGGGGTCGGTGTGAGTGCTCAATTGTCTTCCCTCCCTCCCTCCCTCCTCCTCCTCCTTCTTGTTGGTGATACACAATCCGAAGGGAGCCGCTGAAGCTGCTGCCCTCCACCAAAATCCCGCGCTCTTTGAAGAATGTGATGGTGTCGGCACACCCTAAGCTTCCTTCTTGTCGGATATAAAAGGTTAAGTAGGGTGGCGGGATCTGACGCCGTCAGCGAACCTGGTCGTCTTTTCACGCCTGCATACCGTTTTGTTGTCTGCCTTCCCGGACAATCTGCGACGCGCTCCGAGACATGCACAGCGTTTCCCGTCTGGGGTGAAGATTGAGAAAGTCTTGACGGCCCCGGCTTTGGGCAGGTCTAGAATACCGGCGACGGCCTCTGTCTGTTTTTAAGTCCCTCGAATGGGCGTTCGAACCAGAAACAACTGCGCGCCTCCATGGACAGCAATTGATTGACAGGTACCGGTGAATGGCGAACCGAACGAAACAGGTAGGTAGTTAAAAAGGTGTGTGTTGATCGGTCAGACAAAGATTAGACAGCCCCCTTGTTTGATACACCGTCGGCTGCCAAGTCCCTTATTACCACAACTTGAGGGGTGTCAGCCAGCCAACCTTTCTTTGTGCGCTTTCTCAGGCCGGCATTAAACTTTAAACATCTGGCAAACGTTCTCTGAGTGAGTGCCCATGAACGGATGGAATCATCTTTGGTTGCATCAACGCATCCGATCAAAGCACGACACAAGATCAACCTTGAGGCTGATCCTCATCATGACATCAACCTCTGTGCGCCACATCTGGACCCTCGCACGCCTTGTCTAGGTATACGAGCGATTAGACATTCGCAGAGCCTCGGGTTTTCAACGTGACCTGTTAACCCGAATACCATCGGTATCGTCGTGGTGAAGTGCCCTTTGCGTCCTCAAACGGGACAGGCGGAGCGCCCCCTTCCGAGGTCAGCGGCACCCCAGACCATGAGGATGCGCAATCACAGAGGCCTTGATGGGAGAGGTACAGGAACATTGGTTAGTTTTCCCGTCCAGCCCGGCGGACGTACCTCCATGGATCCAGTCAAATATCTTGGGTACGCAGAGCGCCTCGTTCTCATGTTGTCCGACTATGGTTCATGCCGGCTTGGTTACACCGGTGGCCCAAGAACAGCAGACAAAGCGCATGTACTTGGGACTGCTGTGTAGCTCCATAGGTACGAAGCAAAACGAGCGGTGCAGGGCGAGAAGGGGAAATTGACTTTTTTTTATAAACCCAGGTCAAGGTATCGACGTCAAGCGATGCGACGCCGCATGCAAAGCTATCGGGCTGGCGGCAGTCACTTCCTCCTCTTCCGGGTCAGTCACTGTTCAAAACCCATGATGAGATCTTGACCCGGGTTGCTCCTTTCGAAGATATAAAATGAGAGTATCTGCTCCTTCTCCCGGGGGAAGTCATGTTGGGTCTTTCCCTGTTAGTACCTAGACTTGACTTCCCAGACCATCATCACTCGGCTGTCCGCTTGGAGATCCTCCGAACCGTATAACATTATGTGGTCATTATCAGAACTGGCCGTCTTTGGCCTGAGTATCTTGTCGGCCTCGGCCACTATCCTACAAAACGGCCAGCCACGGATAACCAACTTCCCCGACACTCGGATCGACCCGTTGTCATACTCGCTCACTACGTATCCACGGAATGCTAGCGAGATCTCTTACAAGGGGCGTTGGGACTCCAAATATGTCTCTTGGTGGTCGTAAGTTGTATGTTTACCTTTACCACCAATCAAGCACTGATGGTCGTATAGCGCCCCCGGGATCAAGTTCGGATATACCGGGCAAACAGTGGCAGTCACTTTCGGAAACTGGACCAGTGATGGAGTTCTTGTTGGGTATCGTATTTCGGGCCTGGATTGGATCTTCACCAACGTCACGGCGGGTGGTACACATCTTTTTGTGTCTCCAGAGACCCCGGGGTCGGACTTGACGGTGCCCATCAGTCCCTCCACATTCGAGTTGCGAGTGACGAACTGGGCCTACGGGATCCAAATCGAGTCCATCCATGTTGCTAAGGGCGAGAAACTGATCAAGATTCCTGACTATGGTCGTCGTATCGAGGTCATTGGTGACAGTCTTGCTTCGGGCATGTATACCTCGTACGAAGGACTATCAAGCTGGGCATAGTAAGTCGGGCTTCCTTCATATGGATGTGATAATGTCCTGGAGAGTGGTTTCACGCAGAAATCCCAGTGACAGGCATCGACCTTAGAGTTGCAGACATCATGGGAAACAAACTGACATATGAAAATAGCGGACTTAGTGCTGGACTAGGCAACACAGAGTATAGTATAACCGCATATCCAGGCATCTGCGCGGCAGATCAGGACTGCTGGGGTAACCCTCACGGGCAGGTCCATCAATGGTTTTATACATCGGATACAAGCTACAGAGCCTCTGTCATGTATGGAGGTACGTTTGGAACCTTTCTGTGTCCTTTAAGACCCTAAGACAGGTCCCGTGTGTGAATAGAGCTGACATCTGTTCCAGACAAGCCCGAACCGTGGGACTTCAGCAAGCGTCCCGCTGCCGACATAGTCGTCATCAACATTGGCACCAACGACCAAAACTCGCACAACAACGTTTCCACAACTACCTACATCAACGCCCTGACGAAGATTATCCAAGGAGTCCATGGCAAGTGGCCCAAAGCCCAAGTCGTAGTCATGGTACGTCTAGCTCCGCATCAGCAACTCCTTTCCCTCCCTTGCGTACACCACTCATAGATAGTCTCTTCTAGTCACTCTGGCTCGGATTCTACCAATCCGGCAACACCTACCTCCCCAACGCGCCCCAGGGTTTCGTCAACGAAATCTACCAGATGTACAAGTGGTTCAGCTCGGACGACTACCTCCGAAACCCGATCGTATACGACGGAGTGACCAAGAAGGCATCGAAGACCGGCAAGAGGACCAAGCCGTTCGTGCACTACTTCAACACCACGGGCATCATGCAACACAATGATATCGGCCCACAGTGGCATCCTACGGATGTGGGAGCTATCAAGGTCGCCAGTCATTTGCAGCAGTTCATCAGGATGACTTTTGGGTGGGAGTTTGATGCTACTGGGCCTGAGTGGGTTTCTCTTTGTTTTCTTTAAATCCCTATAAACCTGCGGACCGCCTGAGATGCTTACATTACTGACTGACACTTTCTCTTCATTGTAGGATTTTCCACGAGACGGAGTATTGGAATGATGAGCCTGGGTATTAGTCTAACGCGTACACGTATGACCAGGAGGGGTCGTCACGAAGGGCTGCTTGTTGGCCGTCTCTAGGAGCTCTCACGCTCATCATCTGCCTTTCATTGTGTTTACACGCAAACTCCTTCTTTCAGTGTGTGTCGGCCTCGCGGTTTGAGTTCTGGGTCAGTAGGGTATCAATCCTATGCGGCTCAGCCATCCCAAACATAACGGATTCTCTTTGCAAAGGCTTCACATCCTTGCTGCCACAAACGGACTGGACTCGAAGGCAGAACATGAGTAGTAACGACGATCATGATAGACTACTACATGGTTAATCGGTAGAACATAAACATATCACGATAACAACTCAAGAGTTTGGCGCTCGTAGTTGAGGCCGGTTGGTAAATGCCACCACTCACATATCTGATGAGCTGCACCACAGCCGATTTACAACAACCTGTTAGTAGAACTGACACCAATCGCTCTATGACCTGGTGAAAAGGTTAAGAAGTTACAGGCCAAAGATGAAGAGAAATGATCATCATTAAATGAGAACATTGTAAAGGATTTCCATGCCGCTGACTGCTATCCAGTCCTACACTGAGATTCATGTTTCGGTTCACTCTTACCCTCTATCCTAGTGTTGTCTTTCATTGTCTTCCCCTTTCCTCCCTTTTTCTTCTTCACTACGGAAAATCTTCCCAACCATACCAATTATTCATTACCTTACATCTCACGTCCATCCCCTTTACAAACATCCAGCACCGTAAATATTTATCGTAATTCACACTCGCTCGCTCGCTAGGTACACTCTTGTCCATCGCTAGTGTCCATCAACTCCCGTCATTGCCTGGTGTAGTGTACGATACCTCATATCTCCCGCGGAAAGGAGACAACCCGACTGGTCTGGTCGATAACCTCGTTAACGTTAACGCTACCGGCCGTAACGTTTCGAACAGATTTTCAACTTCATCACACATCACATTCTGATGAAAGCAAAAGCACAAACGCCTCTTGATATCTAGGCTCAAGCCACGTACACTAGAGAATGGAGGTTGAGATCCTTCCTAAGGCTGTATTCCAACTTCCACAATGAATGGACGCCCGGAACGGACAGCCAGTCGAATCACACACACACATACCGCACAGGATGCATTCCATTCCCATCTGTTTCAACCTCCTCATCGGTAAGCAAAAAACAAAACCCCCAAAAAACCACGTATGCTAAAAACAAAGGGGAGTCGCTCGGGAGTGAGGTGAAACGGGCAAGTTAACAGTGATCTTCACATCCCCTTCCATTGTCTGTAAACCTATTCTTACACTCACCTGCAACTTCAACTTCAAACTTACACAGTCCCAAACGTCGGCGTGTGTAGGTATGTTCAAACTGGATCCGGGTCCGGGTCAACTTCCGGAAATTCGGAACGACATGGATGGGATTGGACTGGATTTTTAAAGAGATAATGCACCTGACTTCGTGGCTTTCTTTATTCTTCTCACATTGTGATTCCCATCCTCTATAGTGCGCCATTGTCCCAGGGCCCATCTCATCACGTCTGTCGAATCGATGTCGACGTGGGTGTCTACGATCTAGAGGTACGTGATGTTTTCGATTCCAACAAAGGTCCAGCATGTACACTTCTCCCTTTTGATTGGTACTTGCTTACACTTTCAACTATGTACGTACGTAGGTACCTATGTATCTGTATAAGTCGGTACTCTACGCAGTAGCGTGCATACTTTAACGTACTCACATCGTGAGTGAGTATGGAATAACTGTTGATCCCGTCGTGACCAAACTTCATTTTCCTAGGAGGTTTCTTCTCTTTTCCTCCCATTTTCCTCCGGCCTGGACATTTTGTAAAAGGGCATTGCCTTGAACCGGCTCTTGTGAGGGGACCCAGTACCGGCAATGAAGACCATTGAAGGCGGGATAGAGATCCTCTGGTGATCAACCTCAAAATACCACGTCGATCGGATATTGAAAGTAGGTAGAGTACGTACGTTAGTCGGAGGTAGGTAAATACTGTATTAGGTAGAAGCACTGTATGTAAATGATTAACAGTCCCAAAAATACCGACAGGACTTACTTACCTTCCTCCCTGCACTGGCCAGAGGCCAGTCGGTATGTAGTGTAATGTCTAGAGCCATGATATCCTCGGACGGATGTGGGGGTGACAGTGGCACTTTCTTTTCTTTCTTTGAATTGTTGATCGCTGTTGATGATGTTGCTGATACTCGATAATTTCAATCATGTCAACAAGATATGTCCAATTGCTCGGAAATGTACAGTGTAAATGGGGGCGCACCTCCGTCGTGGTGATGATTTGATAATGTGCTCCATGTCTGGTTCGCCCCATCCCTGTAGGTAGTAGTGTAGGTAGTATCCCAGAGTCTGCGCGTCACCCGGGTCGTCGTCGTCGGCGGCGGCGGCGGCGGCGGCGGCGTCGAGTCTCGATGCCCCAAGGGTACGAGAAAAGGAAAGAAAATGGTACGATTTCCGTATCCCACTCCCACTTTCCCCCGTCAATTCGGCATCGAAAGCTTGGTGGGTCTGCCTGGCGAACATGCCTGTCTTCAGTTATTTTCAAACCTTATACGGTACGGTATCGTATCCCTAACCTAACCTGGTCAGTACCTACCTACCTACCTCCATCTGTGGACAGAAATAAATACCTAGCAAGTATTCATTTGCCGGCCTCTCGGGCCGTTGAAAGGGGTCCTGGTCTTTGGTGACATCCGAATTGTAGCGGTCAAGCCACGCAGGGCAAATGATTTGCATATGATTTTTGGCATGGTACGATGGCTGTTTCGGCTCGGGAGGAGCCTTGTAATGGAGCGAATCCGGCCCAGTCCATATGAAATTCTCAACGTATAGTAGGTAGTCAGACATAATTCTCGGAGAGCAAGGGAGTAAAAAAAAGAAAGCAGCAATACATAACCCCCTTCATGCCTCCTGACGCAGTTGGAGAGGTACAGGGACAAGGGCAAGGGAGCTTCAGAGGACAAGACAGGGCAAGTAGGGCAACCGACCGAATCGAACCGACGACCCTTGTTGAGGTGACAGTCTCGATTTCCTAGAAGCTCATCAATGAATGAATGGCCAACCACCGGGTCAAAGTGGGAGAGAGTGGAATTGAGGGGGGAGGGGTTGTGATGAAGCAATGTGAGTTCTTGGGGCAGACAAAACACGGTTGGAAAAAAAAAGGAGAAAAAGAAAGGAATGAGATGGGGAAAAATAAGGTGAAACAGAAAGACGTTACGCTATCAACGGCGCCTAGCGTAGCGTACGATTTTAGTGCTGGACGAGTGGATCGTTAGGGGGGTTTTAAACGACAAGCTAAACTCGATAAACAGACTGACACGGAGAATGACCCCAAGAAAAAGAAAAAATATTAGGAAAAAGTAACAAAGCTATCGATGGACCAAAACGGGGTATGAGCACAAGGATGTGTTTGACAGTCGTCGTTATGACTGGTAGGCTTCCACCACCCTAAGCTATAGTCAACCTTTGATATAGAGTAACAATAACCAGTCGAAAAGGAGCCCATCCGTATTCCGAACTTACACCGCATCTCTGAGCTATTGGCCATTTGCTGTGTGATAAGACGACATGAACAGCAAGCAGTTAGGGTTGCCTACTGACCTTGTCTTTCCAATGTTGCTCTGGTAGGTCTTCATGGGATATTAGTAACCCAAATCTTGGATGTCTATCATCGGAAGGGCGCCGGCTGCCTCTGTATCAACCTCTCTAGTCAGACTTGCTCTTTCTGGAAGCACCGCTTCACAGAACAGACTATACTCGCATCGAATACGCATACAGCATTGGTGAAAGATCAAGAAAACCCTCCTGGTGGCCTTTCGCGGGCAAGGAGACTTGAACACGGCAACGCGGTAACGCGGTATCACGGTTGCCCCGGAGTTTCTCCCGGGGCGGTCACAGGCAGGGACATGGATGTACATACATGTACACCCAGTACCTGAACTCCCACTTGTTCCGAGATGAACCAGCATAATTGCCGATGCCGAGCCTAGATCACGATACCTACATTTTCAATGAGGCTGTTATTGACGCTGGTGGGGGTTGATTTCACTCCAGTTTCTTTCCTTGCCTAAAAAGGTACCCTGTGGCTACTGAACTTCAAAAACCTATGTGGGACAAAAGCTGGTGATGATGCCTTGACGAAGAAGTGAGAACGTTTGGAATTGGCATGCAGGGTGATGCCAGCCTGACATAGCTGGATTCAAACCCCCGAGTATCGCCTAAGCTTCGTTTCTAGTTTGTATCGGAGAGAGTCATCGTGTACCGTGAAACGATGGCAAATAGGCGGACCGAATCTCCACAGACACCGTCCGGAAAGTGGGTGTCTCGACGGGAATTCGAGGGGATGATCACCTTCCCACCTGCATTTGACAAGGCTGGTCTGGTATTCGGTCAATATTGCCGACAGACAACTGTGGCGTTCTGCTGGGAAGCGGGGATTCGATATGGGGGTGGGAGAGAGACTACCCGCCCATCTCGATGTTTGCTCTTGGTTGCGGCATAGGGCCTCGGATGTGTCTCTTTGCATGCCTTCATTGACACCTCACGCATGTTGTCGGTATAGAAGCAGGTGATCAACGTCGGGGAGAGGTCTTAGCCGCAACGCGCCTCGCCGTCTGGTATGGTTGCGGCGTCATAATTGTTGAATGGCGTCCGAAACCGAGTTTGGTTGGATAATCGCTTTGTAAATATGAGGATATGCATCTCCTATTGACCCCGTAGTGTGCCCCTAATTTTGTGATATCTTCTTTCATGCCTAGATTGCTGAAAGGCCATGAAAGCTGCGTCCATCAGGATGTGTTTAAGGAGAGAATAGAGTCTATCGCGGAAATGCATGCCCGATTATTGGCTAACGCAATCGATTGCTTTTGTTCTAGACGTAGCTTCGACAGAAGAACCCACTTGAGCAGACCACTAGATGGCAGACATCATGGATGTAAGTATGAATACATCACTACGAAGCTACACAGTGGTCTATGGCCGGGG